GGGGGGGGAAGGACAACTTCCAAAAAAAAAAGAAAAAAAAACAGCGTGGGACAGGACGGTGCAGACTCACTCGTCACGATAAACGGAAAATTAGTAATGGTGCTGTAGTAAACGGTGTGCAACACCTGCAGCGCCGGCGGCCACCGGGCCAATAGCGGGCGGCCAGTCAGCCAGTACGTGCCCGTGTGCAGGGCGGCGAAGGCGAAGTAGAACGCCAGCCCCCAATACGTGAGGTTGGTGAAGTACGAAAAAGACTGGCCGGCGCCGCCGAGGTGGCGGGCGCCGCGCCATCCCAGATTGAAGAAGACGGCGGTGAAGGCGTAGACGGACAGCAGCGCGCGGAAGGCGAACAGCACGCCCGGCGGCAGCAGCCACGATGTCGCGAACCGGTGCGAAGGGTCGAAGGGAGTGTCGGCGAGCGAGACGAACTGCAGGCGTTTGATGAACGACATGTTTTCGCTTGTCTCGTTGGCGAACGGGTGGCCTTTGGGAGGTGGTCCGTTAGGGACTGATTGTTCCTTTTCTTTGTACTCTTTCTCTCCAATGGAATGTGGTCCAGTGTTCAATGGCCTTTGGTCTTTACTCTGTGGTGGTCGAAGGTGAGACCGACACCGGATCCTTCGGTCGGAAATGCCTGGCGAATGCCGAGGCCACTACTACGTACTCCTGCGCGCTACCTCTTGGTTCGAGGCCGCGTTATCTCTGGCGCGGAACGGAGAAGGAGGCGAAGGCGACGATGGGATTATCACACCTCCAGGTGTGTCTTTCGTCCGGCAAGGGGCATGCACAGAGAAAGGGAAAAAAAAAAGGAAAGGGCCAGACCAGGCTCTCGCGCGCGGACTCAGGACACACGGCGCGCATATAAGCTGACGCAGATTCATGATCGGTCGGGTGCGAGGAATGGGGCTCGGGCAGGCCAAATTGATGGGCGGACAGGGCTGCCCGATGGAGCGTGATGTGCCGCTCGCTGGCCTTAGCCGCAACGTGAAACGGGCGCGTCTCCGACGAGATTGGCGCTTGACTGCTGCTCTCGTTCTTTTTTTTCTCTCTTGAGGCGGCCGTGCACCTCTGTCTCGACGACTCAGCACCACCGACGCGGCCGATTTGCAAGGGCTAAGAGCTGGACAAGCTCAGCTCGCAGCGGGTCGATCGGAAGCTGGAGCCCAAAAGGGAGCGCAGCGCCGTGCGGGCGATCGCATCACGAGCTGCTGCAAGGGCGTCGGCCAACAAGGGCGCCACGAGCTGAGAGTTCGGGAGTCGACCGCGACGGGCTGATCGACTCGTGGTCTCTGACTGGCCGCCGGCTGTCGGCCGCTTGCGCGCCCGCTTGACGCCGCGCGCCCCGTGTGCCACCACGCATCCACTCACTCTTGACCCCTGCAAAACAGAACTGGCCATCCTGATATCCCACCCACCTCTTGCCAAAACGCAAAAAAGAAATACGACGGCCGAGGTTTGAACTCGGGACCTTCAGTGTTCACTGAGCACTAGTGCTCATGTTAGACTGACGTGATAAACCAACTACACCACCATCGCAATGCCAAGACCCGAACTCACGTCCGTGTACCTCAACTTGTGATGGAAGGAGAACAAAATTTGGTGTTTATATCGTTTGAATTATCACGATGAGTTGGGAGCCGGGCTGCGCTCTTCTTGCGATGGTAGTGATGGTAGTGGCGATGGTGGACGCCGGTCGGGCTGGAAGCATTGGGATTCGAACTTGAACTCGTGGTTCTTTTCGCCGCCGTTTGCGTTTGCGCTGTTGCATAGTCAGCATCCAGGAGGCCTTACCGTGTGGGTGAGGATGAATGTAGCCGAGGTTGAAGCGACAAAGGCGGGAGTGATGCGGCGCAAGCTGAGGCGGCGAATGGGAACGGATGCGGCGGCCACGGAAGTGCTACGGCTACAACCACGGGGCGCGGCGGATGACGATGAGTAGGGTGACGAGGAGTCGTTGTAGCTGGGAGTTGGTATGTGGTTGTGTCGACCGCGTGTGCGACGGGGAAGGCGCGACGGACCGGTCCGCGCCATCGCGAGAACACGAACCCACGTGATGCGAGACAGCCAATCAGACGTCGGGACTGCCTCCCCATGCAAACAGTTAAAGTTACTGCGTGGACTCGACGGGATGCGACATCAGCAATCGCTCAAGCAAGGGCCAACCTCCCCAAGGCGGGATAGTCAACGATCCGGCGGAAAAATCCATGATGCATCGTTCGCTTTCGCAGTCCTCGCCCTTCTTTCGATTTCTATTTTTTTAATCACGAGCATCTCCAAATCTGCCCACGAGGTGGACAGTTCCAAAGCAAGGGTACGTTAGCGCCACCCGCTTCTTCTCCTTGCACTCGTGGCCGCCAACTCCAAAGCCCGTCGTCTCCGTCGCACCGGGCAACACGAAACAGCAATAATTAAAAACGACCAGCATCACGTTTTAATACAAGTCATGTCTCTCGATGACGACGACGAAACCAATGCCCAACTACTCATGGGCTAAACTACATGAGTCAAAAGGCACGACGAAGGGGGTGTGTCGACTGTGTCATCTCATCCTCTATCGGTGCGGGGCTTCCATACGGCCTCCTGCCGCATGCACAATCGTCGCCTGCCTGCGACAGATCGTCGCCGCCTGCATGAAGCGTCGCGTCGCGTCAGAAGCTTGTGTACGATCATCTGCCTCACGCTGTCCCGTCCCGCCGGACTCTCCCCTTCCGACCAGACGTGGATCGGAAGCATCACCGGCTTATGCCCTCGCACGGAGCCAACAGGGAAGATGGCAGATGTCAAACAGGACGTGAAAAGGGTGCGCAGAAAAAAAAAGAAGGAAAGAAAAAAATGACATGCGGCTTCCAGATAGATGGCTTGCAATTGGCTGGAACTTATATGGGCTCGATGCGCCGCCACCGTTGCACATGCACTGCCATCAGAGACAAGGGATGGATGGGTGGCGGGAAATAACAGGAAAACTCCTGTGTACAAACGCAAAGCCTTACGAAACATGGGCCATGATGAGACGGTGCCAGTCAGCTGATGAGAGAATGCAGGGGAGCATTCATGCTCCACCGGTGGGAGCTGCCTCCGGTGTGTATGTAGCCCTTTCTGCAGGAACACGCAATTGCGCAACCCATGTCTTTACCAAACCGTCGGATCACCATGTAAGGTACGGACGTCCTCACACACGGTGACGAGTGGCTTAGCCGTCTGGGAGGACGGATATATGCTTAACCCTCATGCATCTTGCAGTCTTGGCAGGCCAGGGTATACGTAAAGCATCTATCCATTTTTACTGGGCGTGAAGCCGCTATCTGGATGGTTCCGTCTCAAGCTGATCATGATTCGTTGCGCCAGATCTAGATTTGGCCCAACATTTCGGATACCCCGAACGAGAAATCAGGCGCAATTCAGACAATGAGCCTCAGGTATGGTGAATTACCAACTGTAGTTACCAAAAAGGCGAGTGCGGCAACCTAAATGCCAAGGCGATGAAGCTGGCTTTATCAAGCCAGCTTGATGCGCTCGATCTCTCGAGAGTAGAGGTTCACCAGGTCTTCATCGGTGAGATTGTCAAGACTGAGTCCTTCTGAGAGGTGCATGCTGCAAAGTCCCCAGAAGCGGTGGCTCAACCTGACAACCTAGATGGCGTCAGAGACTTGTGTCCCAAACAATGAGCGCTACAATAGTACTCACATCTTTTGGGTTCCTGCGCTCGTAGCGGAAGCCGTAACGTTGGCACTTCCGTTCGATGGCAGCGAGGTAAGCCTCGAAGTCAGCTTTCTGGCCCTCCCACTCATCCTCCTCACGGTGGTTGGGGTCATGGAGGCTTTCTTCAACAACAACAGTGGTGACCAGCTTGGGTATCTTGGCCAGGACGTGCTTGAACATGTAATCCTCCATGCTGAGGCGCTTCGCCAAGACCATTCTCATGTTTCTGGGCAGCTTCTCCATGCGCTCGTCGTCATCCAAACTCCAGGCTTTGATTTCGTCACGAGCAATGATGAGGTTTAGTTCCTTGAGAGTGCCGCGCTCAGCCAACATGTTGATGCACGCCTCAAAGGAACCCTTGATGCTGTCCTTGTGCGGGGTAGCAGCCTGAAGACCAAAGGTTTTGGCAGACTTGACGATCCAAGTGGAACGTAGCTCATCAAGCTTGAGATTATGGTACCAGACTGGGACGTGAACTTCCAGCTTGCGAAGTTGGTTGACATTGAAGCGACCAATCGTATGAAGGAAGCATTCGAGGGGCGACGAAACCGCTGATGTCGCGGAAAGCAAAGTGGTTCCTTCTGTACAGCACGACGCAAGCCTCCTCGCTGACTTGTTTCGAGACGTACAGCAAAGCCGGAGCTCCACATCTGTACATATCATCTCCTTGATAGTAATGGGTGTGGTGCTCGTTCTTGGCCTTTCTGATCTCGGCCTTCATATTGACTATTCCGCTATAGTTGCTCTCGTGCACTCCTACGAGAAGCAAATACGCGTACCGCTCGCCCCATTTCATGACAAGGTCGGGAAAGAACTGAATCCGATTTCCAGGCGTGACAGCAAGAGCAACTTCGAAGATGTCCAAGCGGACAAATTTGGGAAGTTGCATCAATCGAGAATGCTTGATATTCTGTTGGCAGATCAGCTCCGCAAAGGGTCAAGTACAGTTGAAACTTACAGAGATCTCAACACTTCTATCGACCGACTTCTTCCATGCCTCGAAGCTCAAGGGCCGAAGGTTGAATGGTAGCTCGCGACGGGCCTGAGTTCCCTTAGCCAAGTTGCCGGCAGGGGTGATAGAGGGCTGGCTACTGGATTGGGGAAGATCCTTACTTTTGTTCGCAGAAGTAGTGTTGGGGCCCTTTTCGCCTAGGTGGTGTGAGTGTTCTTTGTCAGTGCTGTCACTGGTAGAAGGGCCGCTTCCATGGGAAGAGCCCTTGCTCTGGTGCGCAGAGTCATCAAGGGAGGATTTGTCGCCGCCAGAACCTTCGCCATCACTGAAAGCATGGCCAGTAGCATGGCCATTGGCGCTACCGCTACCGGGAGAAGGAGAATCTTCATCAGAGGAGTCACTGTCTTCATGGGAGTCGGATGTCTCGTCGTCCGAGGTCACCTCATCATCTTCGTCGTCAGATTCGTCGTCAGATTCGTCTTCGAATTTGGTGTCCTTCTCAGTGTCCTGTTGGCCCATCGCTTCAGCGGCTCTGTGGACACCCGACTGGCGCTCAGTGTAGGTGACGATGTTCTCAAAGCCAGGAAGCGAAGTGAGCGCGGCATCGGCCGTGGCCTGGAGCGTATCGATGTCCATATCCGCGACGAGTTCATCAAGAGGGTCGGGCTCGCCATCCTGCTCGTCCTTGTTGACCCAACGCTCGAAGTCCTGCTTGACGTAGGATGGGACGTCAGCGTCGGAGAGCAGGGCCGGCCACCAGTAGTCAGGCTCGGCCTTGAAGAGTTTGAGCTCGAGCTGGCGGTCCGTGTGCCTGATCTCAGCCTCGTTGGGGTAGACGTCGTCGTGGAGGTTCAACTCGAGATGATATTCGGTGTCACTCAGGTCGGAGTGAGCGTCGAGGACGACCTTGCGCTCTTGCACGTCGAGCTCGAGGCTGCGACGCGGAACATCATGAATCGCGATGGTCAGGAACACGTAGTTGCTGTCGGGTGAGTAACACGACCTCTGGGCCCAGAGGACTCCAGGCGTAAGCCGCGTCGCCATGTTGTAGCTGCGTGACCTGACGTGGTTGACGGACGTGTTGTGTTGCAAGTGACGTCGGTGATGAGGAAGAGTTGAGAGTGGCCAGGCGGCAATCGACCAACAACTTAAAGCACAAGCAAGCGGAGGTGCACGTGGCGGTCGCTCAGTGGAGCAAGACGCAAACGGGTAGGCGTAGAAGAGGCAGGCGCAGAAGAGGCAGGCGCAGAAGAGGCAGGCGCAGAAGAGGCAGGCGCAGAAGAGGCCGGCGCAGAAGGGGCAGGCGCAGAAAGGGCAGGCGCAGAGGAAGGGTGGCCAGGCTGCACGTGCGCTCCAGGTCCTCACCACGCACCTGCCTGCGCCTGGATGCGCTGCTTCCACGTGGCTCAAATCTTCTGCAACTCTGTGAAGTGCCATCTGAGAAGCAGACTGTGGAGCTAACTGCTCTCCCTAGTCAACATCGGATTCACTGGTCTTTCAAGCACTTTCAAGCATCGTGGTTTTTTGAGACAAAAAATGCGTTTCTTTGTCATGTACCACGTCTAATCGCACCGTCGCCATCACTTTCTCTGAAGGACAGACTCTATCGCCTTGGCCGCTCCGAGAACCTTCTCTTCCTCAAGCTTGCGGCCAACAATCTGCACACCGACGGGCATGCCATCCATAGCTTCCGGGTCGTAGATATTCCAGTTCCACCTATCCAGCTCGTTCCTTGGCTCATAGCCCGCGTGGTCGGCTTTCGTGTCTACAGTCTTGTCTACGGCGCCGCCTGGCAACACCACGGCACTGTAGTCCAGAAAGTTCCAGACCTTTGTGTAGCCCACCCATCGACAGCCCCGGTGGGGCACCGCGGAATGAGGCATCACCGGAGTGAGCAGGACGTCAACCCTGCGGCCCGATGGCGCGCGAACCGCATTCCACTTGTCAAGGTAGCGCTTCTGCTGCTCTTGCTTCATCTTGTTCAACTGCCAGTACGCGTAGACGGAGATGGGCTTGCCTTTGTTCACGAGGGCTTCGACGTGCGGGATGAACGGCTCCCCTCCGGCAAGAACCTCCCTGCGGATATCTTCACCGCCGTCGGCCGTGTAGAATTGGTCCTTGAATCATGTGTTGGCATGTGGGCGTTTCACGAGACGAAGGGGAGGACCTACCATGATGTCGATGCACTCTCGATGGCCGCTGTGGTCCCAGGGGATCACTTCATGGCCTGCTGCTTCCAGCTTGCGAGCCGCTTCTCGCACGACGCGCTCTACTGGAGGATGGACTCTGACTACACCGTCGTCGACGAGCAAGCCTATGACCAGCGGTCGGGATTGGAATTCTGCTTCAACGTCGGCCCGCCAAGGTAGAGGGACAACTTTTGGATCATACTGCCAAGGTGCAGCATCGACGACTGTCTTGGTGATGAATCGTAGGGAGGATAACGTCCTTGTTAAAGGACCGATCACGGACGGGACATGCTCCTGTCCATCGGTCGAAACGGTGACATTCTGGTAGGGCAGCCGACCACTCTGCTTCGGATAAGCTTCCTCGACCACGTGGTACAGGGATGTGCGTAGGGGAGCCACGCACGCTGGGTTTCAGGCCATAGAGGCCGAGCATATGGCTTGGGATGCGAATGGACCCTCCAATATCCGTCCCCCACCCAACGATTGAGCCGTGCTGTGCGAGTAGCGCACTCTCCCCGCCAGTCGAGCCTCCGGGCGTAAAGGCGGGATTGCGAGGGTTGGTCGTGAGCCCCCACAGCGGGTTGTCTGTTTCGCACCACTACCAGCACACGCGTGTCAGACAGGAGCCTATAGTACCCTCATCTAAGACGCAGCCAATGAATCGGCGGCCTTTCCCCTGGGGCGCAGCAGAAGATCGACGGTACAGGAGGGCCGATATAGTGGTCATGGAGAAGAGGGGTATAGGCCGATCATCATGATCAGGAAAATTCCGTGCCAAAAAAAAAAAAAAGAAACAGTGAAGTGTTGAGCGGTGTCCGCAAGCAAATTGAGCGGCACGTTTCACCGTTATTACCAATACGGACCGAGGCAAGGCGGCGATTGGGCGCGGGTTGCGGCGGAGATGCGGGCGTGCCGACTTACCATTATAGACTGTGGGAGATTTGTTTTGGCAATTATGATCGCCCCCAGTTCTTTCAGGAGGGCGACGACGACGGCATCTTCGGGAGCAGGGCGGAAAGCCTTGGCGACGTAGCCAATGGTGCTGTCGTATCCCTTGACGTCGAACTGGTCCTTGAGAGTCACGGGTAGGCCATGAAGGGGGCCGATCGGCTTGCCGGCGGCCGCAAGGTACCGGTCAAGCTCCTTGGCACGGCGGACGGCGTCGTCGAAAAGCACCTCCGTAAGGCTGAAACACGAGGGTTAGCAGGTCACGTGGCCCGGGAGCGGGATTACGTGCCAATTGGTCTAGGGCGAGATCTGTTAGCCGGAAGACGGCGGGAGGTTATGCTCGCGTATGTCTTACCTTGCCATGTGCCACAACGGCTCTGCGAGTGATTGGCGCGCGGTTAGAAAGTTAGAAACCCCCATAAGAACGGCCAAGGAGAAGATCGGGGCGGGATCTGAATCAGGCCGGCGGCGCCGCACGCGACCCGCGCTCGGCCCTCGCCCTCACCTGTGCGAGTATGCGACAACCACGTCCTCGGCGGTCACTGCGCGCGTGGAGATGCTCTCGAGCAGCTGCTCGACGTCGTCGATGTCCGGAACGGAGTCCGCGGCTGGGCGTTGGGCGGGCTGGGGCAGCATGTGTCAGATGCTGCGTGCTGATGATGAACCGAGTCGTGCGGAAACGGCGGGCGCGGCAGGCACGGCGGGCACGGCGGGCACGGCGGCAACGGCCGGGTGCGGAAAAAGCATGTTGAGGCGGGAGGGCGCGGCTGGCTCAAACACGGGGCTGCCGGTGAAGAAGCGGCCCGCATGACGAGCGGCGCCGAAGGGGGCGGCCAGTGACATACCGGAAGGGATGGATACCCGGACAGGAACGAGTGAATGGCGGCCTGCTGCAGGGCGCGCTTGCGCTCGGCTTTGGCGAGCCACGGCGGCGTGGCGGGCCCGGTGCTGCCCATGGGTGCTGCGGCTGGCGGCTGGCGGCTGGCGGCTGGCGAGATGCGAGATGCGAGATGCGCGATGGATCGCTGGACGGTTGCGGGCCTCTGCGACCATGATATGCGACCATGATATACGCGCCACGTGCAGCGCGCGATGCGGCAGCGGCAGCGGCAGCGGCAGCGGCAGCCGTTGCGCCGGCGGCTTATCGCATCGTAGGTCGACGGTCGACCCCAAGGATCCCAAGGATGGGCGGCGGGCTGGGGCGGGCTGGGGCGCGCGCAGCGAGCAGCGGCCAGCGAGCAGCGACCGCCGACCAGCGGCCAGGGAAAGTGGGGGGGGCCCATGGTCACTCATTCCCGACCGCGATCCACCCCTGGCGCCCGAGCGCCGCCACGCACATCCACCGACGCAACGCCCTCAGCCATACTTGCCGCTCGCTGCGTGCAGCGAAAAATTATGCTCCAGCAGGTCAGGCCACCTCCTGCCGCGGCTTGCTCGCGCGAAGACGCCCCTGCGTCTGCGCGTCCCGCTGCCGGCGCGCTTCTCCGCAATCTGCGCTCAAGAACAAGATGGAGAGCCCTCCACCACTTTTCCCACTCTTCGCGCCAGCCCAGCCCGACTTAATTGGCGATGCCTCCGCAACTATGGAATTTCATCAAGCGCAGCAGACATCCAAGGTTCCACAAAATGTCCCCCAGCATGATTCCGGACGATGAGCTTAGAGAAGGTAGCGTTGATGTCCTGACCGCCGACGTGCCGCACCTAAACGGCTCCCGCGGCCCCTCGACCAGCGATGTCCTGGTCGTCGGCGCCGGTCCCGCCGGCCTCATGCTTGCGTGCGTCCAGCCTCCAGTCCCTCCCCTCGCGCCGCGCCCGCCAGTGCTGAAGAAAGCTGCAGCGACAACCTCGCCCGTTTCGGCATCAAGGTCGACATCATCGACAACAGGCCGGACCGCACCCTGACCGGCAGGGCGGACGGCCTGCAGCCCAAGTCAATCGAGACCCTGCGTCAGATGAGACTCGCCGATTCTCTGCTGCGCAAGGGCGTCAAAGTGTTTGACATCTGCTTCTGGGTACGTCAACACCAGCATCCGTGCTTCGTGGCTGCATTGCTGAATCTGCAAACAGCGGGCTGCCGTCGGCGAAGAAATGCACAGAGCGGGCCGGGAGGTGCATTATCCTCGCGAGGCCGTTGATCTCTTGGACCCGTACATCCTCCTCGTCCACCAGGGCATGATTGAGCAACTCTTCATCGACGACATGCAAGAGCGCGGCATCGCCGTGCGGAGAAACACGGCCTTCGCCGACTTTGCCTACACTGGTAAGGCTGCCCCCGTCGAGGTTACGTGCATGGCTGGGGTCCAGCAACAAAAGAGCAAGATGACCACCAGCTACGTCGTTGGGTGCGACGGCGCGCACTCGCATGTGCGCAAGGCCATCGCCGGAGCCCAGCCGGTGGGCGCTTCGTCCGACGCTATTTGGGGCGTCCTGGACGGCCAGATCGAGACGAACTTTCCAGACTTGTGGTCCAAGGCCGTCATCTATTCCGAGGAGGCCGGGTCGGTCCTGATCATCCCCCGCGAGCGGAATCTGACCAGGCTCTACATCGAGCTCAAGCCCGAGTCCAGAGGAAGCGCGTCCAAGGACGAGCTTACGCAAGAATTCGTCATGCAGAGGGCACAGGAGATTATGGACCCATTCCACCTGAAGTGGAAGACGGTCGGTACGTTGGCGCATGTCCGCTGGGGTCATTTTTCATGTGACATTCGGCAAGCTGACGTTTCCCAGAATGGTTTGGAAGATACCAAGTCGGACAGAGGGTTGCAACGAAATTCACCGACGAAAAGGGTCGGGTGTTCATCTGTGGAGACGTGAGCATCATCTGGACTCTGACTCGCCGTCGATCGCCCACGCTGACGCAAATGCACAGGCCAGCCATACGCACTCTCCAAAGGCCGCACAGGGCATGTGAGTGTTGGACCTGGAAAAAGCAAGTCCCATTTATTTCCGAAGGATTCCTAATTTGCTTTTTTTTTTTTTACAGGAACACTTCGATGCACGACGGGTGGAACCTCGCATGGAAGCTCAACCTGGCTGTGCGCAAGCTGGCAAAGTCCGAGCTGCTGGCGACGTATGAAGATGAACGGCGCAAGATCGCGCAAGACCTGATCAACTTCGACTACGAGCACGCCAACGCCTTCGCCGCAGGCAACTCGGACGCACTGGCGCAAAACTTTATGCAAAACGTCCGGTTCATCTCGGGCATGGGGGTCGAGTACAGCAGCAACGCGCTCAACATGCCGACCAAGGCCATGGGCACCGGCGACCTGCGGCCGGGCTGCCTGCTGACCCCGGCCAAGGTGACGCGGTACGTGGACGCGAACCCGGTCGACATCCAGCTGGACATCCCGACGCTGGGCCAGTTCCGCGTCTACCTGTTCTGCAGCGACCCGCTGGCGAGCCGCGGCTTCCTGGACACGGTGTGCAAGCAGGCCAACAACGCGGGCCAGTCGTTCATGGGCCGCATGAGCGCCGCCGCCAACGCGTCGTACACGCTGCAGCCGCCCGTCGCCGCCCCGCACGACGAGTTCGTCTGCCCGGAGCGCTACACGGCCGTCTCCTGCCTCTTCACCTGGGCCCTCGTCGTCGCCGGCGGCACCCCCAAGTCGGCGTTTGAGATCCAGGACCTGCCGCACGCCCTGCGCGACTCGGCCTGGACCGTCTACCTCGACGACATCCCCCACACCGACACCCGCGGCCAGACGTGCGTCGACAAGTGGCTCGGCGGCCTGCACGGCGCCGAGACGGCCGTCGTCATCGTGCGCCCCGACGGATACGTCGGCACCTTGCGCGTCTGGCCCGAGGGCAGCAAGGACTGCGGCCAGGAGGCGATGAGGTGGATGGATGAGTACTTTGATGGCTTCTTGACGGATGATGTTGGAGCCCCGAATTACTGAGCATGTCGTCCTTTTCATGGGAATAAAAGGTAACGGGCGGGAGGTTGGCGTATTTCATCTCTTTTCTTCCCTGTTTGTCCTAGGCATTTCTATCCTCGGGGCCCGGAATAACGGCTATGGATGCAGACTGAAAGCATGGCTCGGTTTATAGAATTGGTGGGTGGTGGGTGGCGTTGCGCTGCGGGTTTCATGTGTTGCACGCGGATAAGGGTGCGGGTGTGGTGAGGGGGGCGTAGTATAAGCCGGGGTAGAATCATAATTGCACCGTCTCAGAAGATGTATAAAAGTGAATGAAGACTGGGTAGTGGAGAAATGAACTATCCCATTGTGTTTCTATAAGCCTACATATCTAAATCTATATATATATGTACCAGTAACAAATGCCATAATACAACAAGTCTTACATCAATCTATCACTCGTGAACATTGCTAACAAAAAGACAGCCCCACATGATATCTCATAAAAAAACATTTCCACCGCCCCCTCAGCGAATCTGGAAAAGCACCCTCTCCTTCTCCCAAAACTCCTTCGTCGAAAACACCCACCATGGAAGCCGCTCCCCAAGCCCCGACCGCGTGTCGTCATCCATGCCGTCATCCCTATCCACGACGAGATGCCTCGCCGCGCCACCAGCCTCACCGCCGTCTTCATACTCCAAAAACGGCGACCAGCTCCCGCCATCTAATTCTCCACCACCACCGCCCGCCGTCATCAACCCTTCCCCCACCAATGATCCGCCGTCCGTGCCATCGCCATCGCCATCCTCGCCATCCCCGCCCTCCTCGTCATCCTCGTCATCTGGCAGCACCTCAAACCTCTTGCACAGCACCCCCACGAGACTCGGATGTCGGCCCTCGGCCGCGTACCGCATGGCGGGGCGCCAGCACGAGGCGCGCGCGGCGCCGTCCTCGAGGACGAGGTACTCGAGCGCGGGGCAGCGGCGCAGGACGGGGCCGAGCACGTCGGCGCGGCGGCAGTCGAGGCGGAGGAGGTGCAGGGCCTTGAGGGTGCTGCCGATGACGTCGTCGACGGCACAAGTGCTGCTGATGGAGAAGACTTCGGCGAGGAAGTGGTCGAGGTTGCTGGTGCGGCCGCGGGCGGCGCCGAGGCGGAGGACTTCGAGGTTGGGGAGGAGGGAGAGGAAGTGGGTGCTGCTGCCGGGGACGCGGCCCATTGAGTCTGCTGATGATATTACCCCGGCCCCTGTTGCTGCTGTTGCTGCTGCTGCTCCCGCCGCCGGCTGGTGATCCGGCCCTCCGATGACGACGGTCCGCAGCGGCAGGCTCACAAACAGCGTCAGCACGCGCACGTGTGCCAGCGGCGCCCGCAACCGCTCCACCAAGTCTCGGTCGTCCAGCACCAGCGCGCTCGGCGGCAACCCACCCTCAACGTCCAGCTCCCGAAGCGCCGGCACCGCCGCACCACCACCACCACCATCACCTTCCCCAGCCGCCGCCTCCGCAACCGCCACCAACGTCGTCTCAAACGCATACGTCCCAGGCAAAATCGCACCACCACCGCCCGCACCACCCCCACCCGCGCCCACCTGCATATACGCCGGCCACCCCAGATCGCGACCCAGCTTGCGATAGCCCCAGCAGGCCGTGGGGTCGTTCGCGCGCAGGCGCAGGCAGCGCAGGCGGGGGAGGCGGCGCAGGGCGGACGCGAGCAGGGCGACGTCGGCGCCGGCGCGGCGGCCGCGGGCCTGGGCCGCGAGGAAGACGGCGAGGGCGGCGCGGCGGTAGGGGCACGGCACGTGCAGCGCGCTGGTGGGGTCGTGCAGGGCGGCGTTGCGGTCGCGCGTGTGCTCGAAGGGGAGGAGGCTGAGGGTGAGGGTGCGGACGGCGGGGGCGAGGTCGGGGTTGGGGTTGGGGTTGGTGTCGGGGGTGATGGCTGGATAGGTGCTGCTGGAGAGGGCGACGAGGGCTTTGAGGCTGTGCTCGGTGAAGAGGTGGCGGCGGTGGGCGAAGTGCCGGTCCAGGAAGGGGTGGTGCGTCTTGGCGTGGAGCTGGCGGCAGGTCTGGCGGAGCGAGAGGAGGCCGTCGTGCGGGCTGGGCGAGCTGTCGCAGGGGGAGGAGGGCGGGCTGCAGGCGGCCAGGTGCCGGGTGATCTCCTGGATCAGCTCGGTCGGCAGTGAAGGGAGGTTTGGGGAGGCCATGGTCGACGACGCAATTGGATTGGTTGGCTGACTGGCTGGCTGGCTCTCATCACTCAGGGCTGGAATGGTCGCTCGGTTCCTGAGCCGAACCCTGAGGATCCGGGGTCGAGTGGTCGGGGGGCTAGCCGTTGCGGGCAGGTAAGCATGCAATACGTGATCCGTCCGCACCTTCAGAGCCAGCAGGTCGCATCTGCGGATAAGGAGAGGAAAGCGGCCCTTTAAAAGAAAGACGCACAACGGCAGGGCACCCGTCTCCACGTGCATCCCCACGTGATCGGGACTTCTCCCCGTCTACCGCCCTAACAGAGCCGGGCCATCTCCCTTCGGCGTCCCGCATGTACGACAGGGATCTGCTGCCTTCCGAATCCGTGCATGTCCAGCACTGCCGCAAACCCCATTGGTCTATCATGAATCTGCTTCTCCGACTGATGGTTGTTTACCACAACTGCTTCGCTCGATCGCGCACGGATTGTCTCAGCCCGGGATTGCGAGCTTCAACTACGTCATCGTAGATGCAACCCCCTATCAGCTGTTCATTTTCTCGATTCTTGCCCAGCAATCCTAAAACTGGGGGAAACAAAAACAATCAGCTTCCATAAGCTTGAAGAGACTATAACCGGACTGAGAAGTGATTTAGTGCAAGGTCACTGATCAATATTACTGACTTCGTACTGAGACTGTGTCCGTACTCGAGCACGTCGATATTCATCGTACTTTTTTGTCTTCAGGCCCTGGTTCATATCTTGCAGCCTTGCTCTATGAAGTAAGAATTGAGAAATAGTGCAGTAAGTGGATTTTCTGGGAACTGACGGAAACATTGAACGCTGCGTCGAAGTATCTTTGATGTGATTATTTGGCTTACTTTGCCAAATTAACACACAAAAGATTACTCCCAGCTCTAGCGATCCTTTCGGTTACGAAGCACAAGTCATCTTGCCATGCCTGGCGTGATGTTGCGGCCCCCACAACATGGCTAAAAATACGCCCCATGTCGCGCAGGATCATCCGCGCTTAAAACAGCCCCATCTCCCGCACCTCTTTTCCCCATCGTGCGGGGCCATCCGCACTTTTTCTCCACATCAAGAGAGAACCAACCTTCTGTCCCAGCGACGATGCCGGTCCCCCGTGGCTTTTACAACCCCTGGCCCAAAGCCATAAAGAGATATGGCTCGCCATCCATGTACATATTCTTGCTGCTCCTGTCCCTGCTGCCGACCCTCGTCTTCTTCTTCGGCTCCATCGTGTCCCTGGCGCAGCTGATCCGGCGACGCACGTGGTATCTCTCGGGCGTCGTCGTCGCCGGACCGCTGATCGCGTGGGGCCTGGTCTTCCTCCAGAGCCTGCAGGTGGACAAGGACCCCTGGATCAGGGACCGGGCCAAAGTCCCCAGCGTCTCCTTCATCGAGTAAGTGAACGGGCCCTCCCCTTCCCTCTGTTACTCCCCCTCTTCCCACCACCCTCTTCGATCACAAAGACGAAGGTAGCTGGTCGAAGCAAAAAAAAAAAAGAAAAACCAGAACATAACCCCAACCGTCAAACAGCATCGGCACCACCCTCCTCGCCCACTCCCTCTCCTCCACCCTCACCCGCCTCGCCTGGTCCGTCCTCCCCGATCCCGCCGGCGCCGCCACCCGGTCCACCACCACCCCATCCCTCCCGGACGTCGACGGCCCCAACCGCGACCGCCGCAAGGTGCTCCGCGACCGCCGCGTAGGCTACTACTTGCTCGTCCCGCACGCTTTCATCGGCGTCGCTGCTACCTGTTCGTGGACGCCGTGGATGGCGCGTTTGACGCCGTTTGCGCAGTTGCCGTTTTGCGCGTACTTTGCGTTTGTGGCGTGGGAGTATCGGCGGCAGGCGAGGGAGGAGTGGGGGATGGGTGAGGAGGAGGATGAAGAGGAGGAGGAAGAGGGGGAGGAGGGGAGGAGGGTGAAGTGGCCGGGGAGGTTGTTTGATGGGTTGGTTGTTGCGGCGGGGGGGTTGACGGTGAGTTCGTTTGTTTGTTCGTTCGTTTTTTTTTTCCTTTCTCTTTTTTTTTTTGGAGGGGGGGTCCTGACGCAGTTTCGCTTTCGACGCTTTTGTTTGTCTTTCTACCCTTTTTAGTGTCGAGGAGAGGGGAAGGGGGGGAGGTGATGTTTGGATCGTGCGTGTTTGGAACCGACCGACTGACTGATGCGGCTGAAGGTCCGATCCATCCTGGGAATCATCGCGGTGGCCTTCGACATCTACACGAAAGCGGCTCGGCACCCCGTCGGGCTGATATGGGCGATCGTCTGCGATGACATCGTCATCTTCTGTGGGTTCTCCCTGCTTCGAACGGTCGATTTCTCGCGTTTTGTACTGACAGATGTTGCTCGGCCATAGTGTGCTTCAGGGTGTTTTGGAGAACTCATCCGGGGCTGTATCTGCCCCCGCAGCTACGTGGGTTGAGGTTCGACAAGAAAGCCAGGAGCTCGTACACTGCTATTGCGCTGGCATAGCAGAACTGATCGGGTTTCAATGAAGCCGCATCAAGAAGCGAGACTGGAGGAACTCGTCCGATATGTCTAGGACTCAAACCTACGCGCATTACTACCTAGTCCGTGCAGTGACTTCATGTCTGTCTGCTCCAACACTGAAACACCAAGCGTACACATCTCACACGGCCTCGTCCACCAACCGACGAAACCAAAGAAAATACAAAAAGGCAACAAGCCATCTCTGCGCCAAAGCAGCCAAGCCCGATCCCATCGCCACAACCCCCCCACACCGCATCCCAACCCCCTTTCCCCCCTGATTTCCGATCCTTTCCCATTCCTCCCCTCGCCCCCTCCAAACAGGACCACCCAACTAAACAGCCGCATGCCCCGCCGTCTCAAACGGCAACCCCACACACACGACGCCGACCCCAACCCAAAGCGCCGCACTGACGTAAATCGGCACGGTCGAAAACCCGACGTTGGCGCTCACCACGGCGGCCACCAGCCCGCCGACGCGCAGCAGCGTGGCGGCGGTGCCGGTGGCGGTGCCGCGCAGCGGCGCGGGGAAGCTCTCGGGCGTGAAGGCGTACATGACGGCGTACTCGAAGTTGCCGAGGATGCCGGTGACGCACTGGAAGGCGAGGTCCTGCGTCTCGGTGGCGGCGGCCGTGTACGCGAAGAGGAAGACGCCCGTGAGCAGCGCCGAGAGGCCCATCATGCTGCGGCGGCCGCCGCCGACCGTGAGCCGGCGGGGCTCGACGAGGAAGGCGGCGGCGAGGGGGCCGAGGACCCCGGTGGCGGAGACGATGCAGTAGTTGCGGTAGGTGATGTCGAGGGAGGTGGCGGCGCTGAATTTGGTTTCGAGGTACGAGGGGAGGAAGCCGAAGTAGAGGGGGTAGGCGATGCCTGGTTGTTGGGGGGAGAGCGGTCAGTCGGGGTTTGCAAGTGGGAAGGGAGGGGGAGGAGATGGACGACGACGACGACGTACCGATGGTCAGCCAGATCAGCCAGATCAGGCTGGTGTGCAAGGCGAACTTGGGCGTCGCGAACAGGCTCTTGTAGTTGACGCCCTTGTAGTCCTTGAGGTTCTCGCGCATGATGTCGCGCCGGGACAGCTTCTGCGTCTTTACGTCGGCGTCTGTCGGCGTCGGCGTCGTCGCCATGCCCAGCGACACGTCGATGTCGTGCAGCATGGCCAGCGTCAGCGTCTCGGGCTTGCCGTTGAAGCGCGCAATGTAATTGACCGCGTCGACGGCCTCGGCGTCGCGCCCCTTGGACAGCAGGTAGCGCGGGCTCTCGGGCATCTTGAAGACGAAGATGCGGATGATGGCGAAGGCGAGGGCGAGGGCGCCGAGGGTGATCATGGTGTAGCGCCAGCCCATGTTGTCGCGGCGGGAGCAGGTGGTGTAGTCGGAGCCGGACGGACACGAGTAGTTGGCCAGGAAGACCCATCCGATCAGCGAGACGATGACCTGGCCGAAGTTCCACCAGGCCGACAGGGCGGTCAGTAGCCACTGGTGGCTGCCGGGCACGAACTCGAGGAAGATCATCGAGTCGACGGGCACGTTGCCGCCGGCGGCGGTGCCGATGACGGCCCAGAGGGCGGAGAAGGCGATGAAGTTCTGGGCGCCGGCCACAGCGCAGCCAAAGATGCCGCCTATCAGGATGGTGGCGTTGAAGGCGGGCTTGCGGCCTATGAAGTCGGCCGAGATGCCCCAGAAGGAGGCGCCCAGGATCAGGCCAACGTAGTAGGCGACGCTGCTGTATGACCGCTTGGTGATGTCGGCGAACTCCATGGCCATGGCGGGCTGCACCGTCGAGATGCCCTGCGACCAGAAGTTGTCGGTGATCCATCCGAAGCCGGTGACGACGAAAAGACACCACTGGTACCTGCAACACGCGCGTCCGTGAGCGGCGTCCCTGGGCGGATGGGGCGGATGGGGCGGATGCTGCTACTCACTTGCCCATGCCGATTTCCGTCAGTTGCTTGCTGACGAGCTCAGACTTCAGTCGGTAAGAGTCGCTCAGGCAGCTGCCGTAGAAGTCGCGCACGGCAGGGTCGTCAATGTCCTGCACATTGCCCTCGCCGTACGAGGCGGTTTGGGCCAGGGCGTTGGCGGTCGGGTCACGGCCCTTTTCCTCCTTGATGTCGTCGGATGACATTGCGGCTGGGATGAAGCGGACAGGAAGATCGAACTTGGCCGGCTGGGAGCAAAGGTCAGAGGGATATGTGTGATTCTCCAGCAAGACATGCTCACCCGGCCAAGGCTTGCAGGAGAAGGGCCAACGACAGGCGTTCTACAGGCATGTTGCCCAAAGCGGTTAGGTACGGTACCTGGGCGGGCACGCAGCCACGACAAAGAACTGAGGTACTATCGCCGGGGCTTATCGGTGCGGCGATAGCTGGTCGAGGTGGTGGTTATCAAGAATGGGGGCGTCCTCCCACTCTCCGGTTGGGTGCGGGGAAGCAGAGCGGAGGAGTCGCGGCGTCGGGAAGATGGCGGGCTAAGCGACGGATCCCGGCATCCCGGCACCGTTGCTTCCCAAAGCGGACGCAGGTGCGGATATATTACTTGCACTTCACAGCCGCGCCGCTACACTCACTAGCACCAGCATCCGACATGGCGAGCCAACGGAACACTTCTCGCAGCCCGCCGCTTCTCGACTTCGCCGCCTTCTACGACTCGGATCCGGCAAAGAAACAGGCCCTCGTCGGCCAGATCCGGGACTGCTGCCTGCACAATGGCTTCTTCCAGATCACAAACCACCCGGTGCCGCTCGAGCTGCAAGAGCGCATCATGGCCTGGAACAAGGCCTTCTTCGACCTGCCGCTCGAGGCGAAGAAGAAGGTCGGCAAAGAAAACAACAGCTGGAACCGGGGCTACGAGCTGCTGCGCTCCCAGATCCTGGAGGAAGGCACGCTGCCCGAGCTCAAGGAAGGCTTCTACGTCGGCGACGAGATCCCCGTCACACACCCGTCAGTGCTCAATCCCACCACGCTGTTCGTCGACTGACCACGCCGTCTCAGGTACTTTGTCAACAAGAAGCTCAACTCGGGCCCCAACCAGTGGCCCGCCCCCGACACCTTCCCCGGCGTCGACGACTTCAGGCGCACGTGCATGGCCTACTACCACGCCGTCGTCGCGCTGGCAAAGGACATCCTCAAGGCCATCGCCCTGAGCCTCGACCTCGGCGAGGACCACTTCGACGACTTCGCCACGGGCGCCGTGGCGACGATGCGGCTGCTGCACTACCCGCCCACGGAAAAGGGCGACGGCGACGAGAAGCTGCGCCGGGGCATCGGCGCCCACACCGACTTCGGCGCCGTGACGCTGCTGCTGCAGGACGACGTCGACGGGCTGCAGGTGTGGGACAGCGAGGTGCGGCAGTGGTTCGACGTGCTGCCGGTCAAGGGCGCGCTGGTGGTGAATCTCGGCAACCTCATGATGCGCTGGTCCAACGACCGCTACGTCTCCAACACGCACCGCGTCATCAACCGCTCCGGCACCGAGCGCTACAGCATCCCCGTCTTCTTCAGCGGCAACCCGGACTACACAATCGAGTGCCTGCCCAACTGCCGCGAGTCGGAGCACGACGCCCCCAAGTACCCGCCCATCACCGTCGAGGACGCCGTCGGCGGCAGCTACCGCGAGAGCTACGGCCGCGCCGAGAAGTGGAAGCAGGACGAGGAGGAGAAGAAGAAGAGGAGGGCGAACGCTGCCGGCAGCTTGGAGGGCGTGGCGCCGGCCGTGGCCGTGGCTTGATCAGGAGAGGATCGATATTGTCTTCAATTCAGCTTGAATCTTCCTACTGGGTGATTTTAGTCTCGAATGCTGCCTTAGGCCTTGCATGTGATGGTGGGTAGTTCTCGAGTCACCTGGCAATGCAAGAACACACGGTTCCGGAGAAGGATACATACAGGGAGTGCAGCCACGACATCGACCAGCCCCCCCGCACGAGCCGCAGCTTTGCCCCAGCCATGGCAAAAGCAAGCAAGCAATGAACGACAGCAAGGTTCGGCGGCAACTTCGAACGTAGCAATAATCATATTATTGCCATTAAGACTGCCGCCATGGGGCGAGAATGACAAGAAGAGCCTCATGGATGGGCAGAAAATAGAACGGCGATCACACACGGACGGAAGAACCGAGTCCCTTTGCTCCGCCCAGCCCATGACGTCTCCAGAGCTGCGCCCGGCCCTTTTTCATTTATTTAGATTGCGCAACCCCCCGTGGCGTAATTAAGATGGCGCGCGTATATTGCCTCTTGCGGCAGACGTCGCAATCGACGCCTTCAGGACGACGACGACGACAACAACAACGACGACAACGCCACCAAGCCCTTCCGTGGTCTCTGTCGGTCGTCAGTTCCCCAGCAGAGTGCACGCATGAACCCTTCTCCTGCACAAAGGAAACCCAAACCCTTTTACTGTCCCACGTCCTTCAATTTATTTTCTTTTCCCTTGCTGCGCCGTGTGCACATCCACCGCATGAACCGCCCTCTGTCTCTCCCTCTCCATCTCCATCTCCAAGCGACCCAAGCGACCCAAGCGACCCGACGCAAAGGCCACCTTCTCCATTCAACGACGCAACAACAACTCATCCAATCTCTCACCGCTCGCTAACCGATCCACCCCGAATCTCCACTCTCCCAGTCCCAAACGAAAGCGAAGGCCCTTGCCGCTCGCAATCTACGTCTTCATGCTTCTCGCTACGTAGCTGACTGGCGACGATCGCCCGCCGGCCGCCGCTCCCTTCTTTTTTCAAACTCTCCAACCTTGCAGAGAAGCGGCGCCAGGAGCTGCATGCCTGTCAACGTCGAACGTAGCAATATAAAATTCCGGCGGGGGGACGCCTTGACTGACGAACGACGACGCGGGTGGGTGGGTAAGTGCTGGCTTTTTGCTCACCGGTCAACAACCCTTACTTACCACCACCACCAATGAATGACCCTTCCTTCCTTCCCGGCCTTCTGGAACCATGTTTGCCGCAACTCATGTCGAATGCAACTGCAGAGCTGGTACTGTCTGTATATATGTGTGTACGTACCAAAAAATAAAAATAAAAAGAACATCACATTGCTTTGATGGTCGATGAACCGACGACGTACAAGGTATAATGCAACGTTCCGTAACATTCATCATCGTCTAAGACATACCCACCGTACCCAATCCCTCCCCATACCCTATTACTATTAAATTTTTTTAAAAAAAAGAGAGAAAGAGAAAAAGAGAAAAAAGAAAATATTCCCTCCCCCTCCCCCTCCTCCTCCCCTCCCCTCCCCTCACCCTCACCCTCACTCTCCCCCACCCTCTCCTACTACGCCTCCCCCTACTACATTCCCCCACACCTAAGCCAACCCCCCCTCAGCGCCCCCAATCATCCGCCACGGCACCAGCCCCTTGAGCACCATCATGCCGTCGTGCACCACCGCCCACCGCACCTTGCTCAGGTGCCTGGCCACCACCGCCGTGAGGCCCGTCGTGCGCCGCCGCACCGCCGCCGGCCGCAGCCCGCGCGCCACGGCCTCGAGGCGGCGCTCGGGGCCGAAGCTGTCGTCGTCGTCGTCTTCTTCGTATTCTTGAGCAGTGGTGGTGGTGGTCGTGGTGGTGGTGCCGGACGACGACGACGACAAAGTCGCAGGCGGCGAGGCCGTCATGCACCCCACCAGCGCGTCCAGCTCCGCCGCCGCATCCCACACCATCTCGTCCTCGTTCTCGTCCTCGTCCTCCGGGACATCCGCATCCGCATTCGCGACGTCGTCGGCATCGAAGCCGTCCTCGGCGTCACCAGGATGATATTCCATCAGCGCCTCCCTTTCCTGGCGCACGCGACGCCGCTGCTGCTTCCTTTGCTTCTGCTGTTGGACCTGATGATGATCCGTGGGTGGCACCACCAGCGGCGGTTGCGCCGGCCGCGCATGCCACCAAGCCCAGCACGTCAACGTGGCGAGGTAGAGACACCACGGGTAATGGAACAGGCCGCCGGCGTCGAACGCGTCCAGCCGCTCGACGCCCTCGCGGATCAGCAGCGCCGCGTGCCGGGCCGCCCTGGCCGCCCGGAGCCGCTCGACGTCCACCACCTGTCCAGGATTGTTGTTGGACTGATGATCCCCCCCAGCAGTACCACCACCTCTACTGGTGCCAGTACTGGTACTAGTAGTACGTCCCTGATGATCCGCCCCCGCCCCCGCGCCGGCCCCCGCCCAACGCTTGACCACCCGCTGCGATCGCACGTAATCCGCCCGCCCCACCGGCCGTCCGAGTATGTGCCGCGCCCCCGCGTAGATCTGCAGGTCGAGGAACTCGGCGTTGAGCAGCACGTGCGCCGCGTGGTACACGGCCGCGTTGGCCGTCGACCACGTGATGAATTCTTGCCTGAGCAGCGACGTCGTGCTCGACGTCGACGTCGACGCCGACGCCGACGCCGGGGGGCTGATCCCGTTGCTGCCGCTGATGCCGCTGCTGCTGTTGCCGCCGCTGCTGTTACTGTTACTGTTACTGTTGCTGCTGCTGCTGCTGTCATGGTGGTGGCTTTCCGCCGCCGCCGCCGGACCTGCACCTGCACCCGCACCTGTGCTGCAGAAGAGGTCGAGGTAGTTGGCGCAGTACGCGTCGAAGTCGGCTTTCCACGTGTTGTACGACGTCGACATGCGCGTCTTCCAGTCGCCAATGGGCGAGCCGGACGACGAGGACTGGTGCCTGCCGCCGTTGCCGCAGCCGACGAGGCCGAGCGACGTCTGGTCGCGGCGCTTCATGTCCCACGAGATGGACATGAGGCCGTGCAGGAGCAGGAGCCGGGACAGGGCGTTCAGGTTGCGCGGGATGGGGGGCCCGCCGGGCGTCAGGTAGGCCTTGACCAGGGCCAGGAAGAGCGGCGGGCTCTTTTGCTGCTTGCGGAGGCGCTGCCAGACTTCGGCCGAGTCGGCTTCCCACAGCTGCTGGTTGCAGGGCAGGTTGGAGCGGAGCTCGAAGGCGGACATGCAGAGGGATTGGCAGAACAGGACGGCGTGCTGCACGTCCCAAAGGAAGCAGAGGTAGGCGAGCCTGGGAAACCGTCAGTCATGCGGTTTGATGCCGGGGAGTTTTTGGCTTACCGCTTCTTCTGCTCGGCTTCTGCCCATTTCCTCCAGTCGTTGTCGAGATCACCGGAGCACTCATCTGTGAACAGCGTGCGGATGGCCTGGCAGTCGCTTCTTCGGATGAGATTGATGAGGAGTCCGTGGAAGAGGTGTGCCATGTCGTGCTGCTTCTGACCAGCGCGGCTCTTGCCAAAACACTCGACCAGCAGGATAGTCTGCAGGACCCACAGATCGGGCTTCGCGTTAAACCCGGCATGGGCAAAAATTTGGGGCCGGAGGACGTCGTGGATGCAGACCTAGTCATGTGAGCAAACCCGGATTTGTTCAGATAGCGAGCTTGCAACTTACTGCCATCTGGTGAGCGTCCTTTTCGCAGTATGTTGCTCCAAGCAGCAGGACAGATACAAGCAACAGTGTCTCGACGTGGGAAGCGTCGAATGTCGGCTGGTGAATCAGAGGATAGGCAGTATTGAAGCGAGTGAAATACAGATCACAGTAGGTCTGTAGAGAGGAGAGGGACAGTAGAGGATGACTCCGGGAGATGTAAAGCCCGTCCGGCGTGATTGGCCTGGCCGCTTCAATCACGTCGAGCACTTGGGCACGCGCTACTTCATCAATGACTGGAAGGCTGGCAGAACGGTTCATCGACGACATGGGCCGTTCAAAATCAATACCGATCTGCGCTTGGCGTGTTGCAAGAGATTCGCGGGCAACTCTGGCACGTTCTTCGATGGGCATGCTCAGGGGGGTTGGGATGTTCATCGTTTGCGAGCGTCCGATGGTAGAGGCTGCTGTCACAGAACGCTGCTCATCTGCGAAGGCGGAGTGCTGAGGCTCGAGGCTGGGAAGAGAGAGGGAGGTGGACTCTGGCAAGCTCATGTCGGGCAGCATTGAAGAGTTGGACTGGGCATGGGAAAGGGCAGCTGAAGGCGCGGTGGGGGCCGCAATCGAATGTTCATCCGTAGGGATAAGAGCAAGCTCACTAACAGCTGGCGTATGCTCTGGAGGTACGCCTGTAGGGAAAGTATGAGTGGACGGCTGAGGATCAGGAGCAGCTTGGTCTACGTGCGTTGCTGTGAACGTACCAGACAGGATGTCTGGGGTCGAGGTGGAGAAGTGCTGCGCTGCTGGTGCCCCGAGATCGACGTCAAATAGCCAGTTGTAGTTGTTCATGGTGGTGAAGGGCATGTTGAACGAGCTGGCTGGAAGGCGGTCAGCCATGGGGACGACCAGGCATAACATGAACACAGAAACAGGTTTGAGCAATTCCGTTCATTATTCAATTAAGACGCTGGTTTTTTCCGCATAGTCCGGCTCCCAATAGAAGTGGAAGGGAGACATACCAGTGTCAGGGTTGAAGATATCGTCGTAAGGCACATCGTCAGAAAGATTCCTCAGAGATGACGTCTGCAAGCCGCTGGCATTGGACCAGAAGCGCTCGGTCTCGTGCGCCAATGGCTCCAGTTCAGGATATGCGTGTGGCTCAGGGCCAGGGCTGAGCTCAAGCGGGGGGAAGACCCAGGCCTCGACGGTTGTTGGGTCTGTGGTAGCGTCGCACGCGTCGGATGACCTCCGGCCGTAGTCGTCCGACTGTGAGGAGTGGGTGCTGGAGATGGGGGGCGAGATGGGAGCGTCTCCGCCCAGGACGCGGACGGCGTCTTCGATGGAGGCCGTGGTGGAGGTGGACAGCGACCGGCCGTGCTGGGCACTCGAGGGAGCAGCGGACCTGTTCTTGCCCAGGTTGGGACGCTTGGTGACGATGTTGCCGTCCTGGTCCTTCCACATGCGCTTGCGGGTGTTGAGGACGCCAGCACCCTCGGCGCCGGCCTCCTCGTCCTTCTGTCTGTGGCGCTGCATGTGTCTCTCTGCGGAGGCGGGTCAGCGGGAGTGCAATGGGTGGGGTTAGTGTAGGTGGGTAGGTGGGATAGGGCTGGACTGTGCTTGGACCCTAGCAATGGGGGGACCCCATTCTTCAGGGCGCTGAGCTTGTCTGGTGGAGTAGCTAGCGCGGGGCTTCTTCAGAAAAGGCCCGCGACGGCACTCCCGGCGGGTGTGCCCGCGGCGGTTGGAGCACTTACCAAGCAGGTCTTTGCGCTTGAAGTGGGCACGGCAGCGCTCGCAGGTGCTCTCGCCGGCGGTGTGGTTCAGCAGGTGGCGCTGCAGGTGCTCGGAGCGCGTGAATGCGCGGCCGCAGCCGTCAAAGCCACAGGCGAACTTCTTGGGCTGGTCGCTGGCGGCGGTGGTGGTGCTGCTCTTCCTCCGCGCGTGGGCACGCTGGCCGGCGGCGTGGGCGGCCTGGGCGGACGAGGCGGGCGAGGTGTTGCGCATGGCGGCGGCGGGTTCGCGAGAGTCAATTGCGGGGTATCAGGGTGTTTGCAGAGTGACGCGCCGCTGCAGGATGGAGGAGTGTACTGTGTAGAGCGCTATGGCGGATGGTGCGAGGCCGTGAGGCGTGCGGGCGGCCATGGCGGTACCGACTACTTGACATATCCGCGGGCGGCTTATCGCGTGGATCCGACGTCGCATCTCACTAGAGGCTGGAGTGAGCCGCAGGGAGCCACTCGCGGTTGCATGGTATGGCGGTCGGATCGTCGAGAAGTTGCCGACGCGCTCGAGGCCGGCGACGCGGCCGCGCACTGGCGCACGCGCGCACGCACTGGCGCGGATGACTAACCACGGCGGGGGTGGGGGTTGCTCATTCCATTACTACACCACGGCCGTATCAAGTCGCAGCGACACATATCAGGCCCGGCTGCCCGTGCCTCAGCAGCTCACAGGTCCAGTATCACAGTATCAGCACGTCCGCGAGTCCACGAGTCCATATCTGCCGTCACAAATCACCGCGCGGCCGCAGCCAATCGGGGCAGCAGCGGCCTGTAGCGGCCTGTCCGACACGCGGGCGTTCCCGGCGTGGTGGTGTTGCTCTGGCGCCGCCGTTTGCACCTGCCCCTCCCGCCTCCACCTCGCACCGCCCGCCGCCAGCGCCTGAGCGCCGGTGCGCCTGTGCTCTCGATAGGCCAGGCGGATAAACAGGGCCAGCTCCTGCACCCCTCCGGCAAAAGCTGGGTTTCGCCGACGATTTGCGCGATGCCTACATCCGCAACCCAAATGCCGCCATCCGCCGATTGACCATTGGCGAGCCTGCGGGATTGCGAAGGCGGGGTAGCCATGACTCGCGCATATCTCTACGTAACACCCGGAGTTGTCCCCAACCGGCAATGCTTTCCAATCGACCACCAGTCTACCACCGCCGATTGCGCCCCAACGGAGCCTCGCTCAAGCCTTCTCGACCGCTTCGGCGCCCTTGGCCAGGGTTCAAGCAATGCCTCAGACGCGACTGTCTTCAAGCAGCCTCCGAGGCTGTGAGGCGGCTATCAGCAATTGCCGACCGGCAGTGGTTTCGTTGAGTGGCTTCACCCAGACCCGGGCCATTATCTTCCTTCGATTGCCGGAAGCCTTGGCGCGTGGCGCTCCAACTTATCACTCAGCTCTGTGTCGATACAAGCATGCCGCAAGTCGAATGCTAAGGAAGCCACCACTTCACCGTTCCTGCAGAGCAGCCCGTGGCCGGTGATTGGTTGTTGTCTGACCTGCCCGCATGCAAATGCTCCAATCCCAGGTTCGTGGTTCGTATGTAATAAGGGTCCTGTAGATGGCGCAAAGCCGGTGCAGCAGCAGCACGAACACAACTGTAAGGAGATACACCGACTATCTGAGCCAAAGCTAAATTATGGTTCCCCTCATGCTTTTTACTTTTGCAACAATTTACGTCTCGTATCATTGCTGCCACCAAAAAAAAAAAATATATATAGGGCGCGCGCCATCGCAACACGCTAGTGTCGTGGCGATTGCGACATCGATTGGTCGGCGGATCCTGAAACCAAAGTATCTGGCTACCCACAACACCGAGGAAAACGCAATTCCAACCTCTGATGTCGATTCGAATAACAATTTCGTAATGGCAAGAGTGAAGAGCAGGCAGACTTGAAAACTTACTAAATAGTACGCCTGTAGAACTCCACGTCATACTTTCCCTCGTCATCCAAGAATTTCGTCATGTTGGTAACTTAATGACGACGCTCAGAAATCCGGGCATTATTCAGAGCGGCCAAACGAACCGACTGGCAAGAGAAAAGAGCCAAGAAAAAACCTCAAGCAACCGTCACAAAAAACGGCGACTCCCCCTCCTTCCGCCGCACCGCCGTTCTCTGCACAATCGCATCGCCGACCGCCAATCGCAACTTCTCCGCCGTCGCGGGGCTCTCCAAGCAGAACCTCTCCCCCATACCGCCTGCCAATGCCAGCTCGCCAGAACCAACGTTATTATCCCTCCTCGCCGCCCTCACCGCCTCCCTCAGCGCAAAGAAGACGGTCGCCCCCAAAAACAGCGGCGGCTCCCCGATCCCCTTGCTGCTCTGCACGCTCCGCAGATGCTTCCACGTCAGCGGCCGGCCCTCGGCGTCCACGCGCAGCATGGCCGCGTTGAAGACCTGCGGGATGTCGGAGAAGCCGGGGATCTTGTAGGTGCCCGGCCCGCGGGTGGCGAGCTGGCCGCCGCTCGCGGGCGCCGTCCAGAGCGACTCCTCCGTGGTGAAGAGGCCGACGCCCTGCACGAAGGCGCCTTCGATCTGGCCGTAGTCGATGCCCGGGTTGATGCTCTGGCCGACGTCCATGAGGATGTCGGTGCGGAGGACGGTGTGGTCGCCGGTGAGGAGGTCGAGCTCGACCGAGGAGCAGGCGACGCCTTGGGCTGTTGTGGGCGAGTCGCCGAGTTTTAGCAGGTGTTGTGGTGGAAGGGGGGAGAGAGAGGGCTGAAACTCACTGAAATAGTAGTACATGTCCTTCACCTTGTCGACGTCGTACTCGCCCCACACGTATCCGATCCGGGGCATCTTCCAGAACCCGTTGGCGGCGAGGTTGACGCGGTCGATGTACGCGGCGTGCGCGATCGTCTTGAACTCGGCGTCCCTGCCGTACTTGTCCCAGTACGGCCGCAGCCTCTCGTTCAGCTGGTCGCACGCGTCCTTGACGGCCATGCCGTTGAGGTCGCTGCCGCTGGACGCGGCCGTCGGCGACGCGTTGGCGACCTGGTAGCTCTGCGAGTCCGGGTTGAAGACGGCGTCGAGCGGCACGCCCAGCGCCTGCGCCGCCACCTGGCACATCTTGGTGTACAGGCCCTGGCCCATCTCGGTGCCGCCGTGGTGCAGCAGCACGCTGCCGTCGGCGTACACTTTGACGTACGCCCCGGCCTGGTTGAGGTGCAGCGCCGTCGCGAAGCTGAGCCCGAACTTGGACGGGATCAGGCTGATGCCGCGCTTCCGCCAGCGGTGCGCGCGGTTGAAGTCGCGCACCGCGCGCTTGCGCGCCTCGAAGTCGGCGCTGCGCTTGAGCTGGTCGAGCATCGTGGGCACGTGCCAGTCCTCGTCGATGGGCTGCAGGAAGGGCGTGCGGTCGCCGACGCGGTACAGGTTCTTGACGCGCAGCTCGTCGACGTCGAGGCCCGCCTCCTCGGCGATGGCGTGCATCATCTGCTCGGCGATGTACATGGCCTGCGGGCCGCCGAAGCCGCGGAACGCCGTGTTGCTGTGGATGTTGGTGCGGCACACGTGCCCGCGGATCCACACGTCGGGCACGTTGTAGCAGTTCTCCATGTGCGTGCAGCAGCGGTCCATGACGGCGCCCGACATGTCCTGCGAGTAGCCCGCGTTGTCGTAGACGTCGGCGTCCAGGGCGAGCAGCTTGCCGTCCGCCGTCGTGCCGACCTTCCAGCGTGCTTGGATCGGGTGTCGTTGGCCCGTCGTCATCATGTCCTCGTCGCGGTTGAGCATCATCCGCACGGGCCGGCCTTCCTTTCTCGCGGCGATGGCGCAGAGACAGGCGATGGGCACGCTGCGAGACTCTTTGCCGCCGAAGGCGCCGCCCATGCGCTTGACCCGGGCGTTGATCCGGTTGCTTGGGACGCCGAGCACTTGGCTGACGAATTCTTGCGTCTCGGTGGTGTTCTGGGTCGAAGACCATACTTCCATGGAGCCGTCTTCTTTGTGAGGGATGGCCAGGGCGGCGTTGGTTTCCAGGTAGAAGTGTTCCTGCCCGCCGACTCTGGTGACGCCAGTGAATATCCGGTCGCACTTTGCAAACGCCTCGTCCATCTTCCCGTGGATCGCGAGTCCCTTCTTGAGCTGCTTGCCGTGAGCGAAGTAGCTGTTGGCCTCGATGGCCTCGTCGATGGTAAGGATTGCCGGGAGATCTTCGTAGACGATCTTGACGACCCTCGCGGCAGCCTGGGCCTGCAACGCCGTCTCTGCGTAGACCATGCCGATGGTATGGCCGTGGGAAAGGACTTCGCCGTCAGCGAAGAAGGTTTCGTCTTTCTTCACGGAGCCCCAGATATTGGCCTCCTTTGGAAGGCTGTTCTTGTCGATATACCCGACCACCCCTGGCATTGACAGCGCGGGCGTCCAGTCGACTTCAACCAGCTTCGCGTGCGCCCTCGAGGACATGACCAGAGTGCCATACAACTCTCTGTCTTGGCGCTCAATGTCATCCACGTACTGCGCCTCCCCAGTGCACTGCTTCAGTGCCGACAGGTGCGGGACCTGCTTCCCAACGACCCGCTGCTCATGCGGGTTGTAGTTGTCACGGGTGCCTGACGAGATTTCCCTATGGATCTCCTGAATGAGGTCTTTGTCCACTTTTCCAAGGCCCAGCTCTGCCACGACCTCGTGCCAGAAGCGGAAGAAGAGCGACACGGCAAGAGTTCTGCGGTAGTGTGCCATTCCTCCAGGCACGCTGAACGGGAGGTCGAAGTCCGCGGCCAAAGCATCCATTCCGGCCTCCAAAGTCGTCGACTCGAACCATGTCCTCCCGAGCAATGCCTTCTTTGCGCCTTTCGCCTCGATCGTGGTGGGTGCCATGCCGCCATAGGCAAGACAAATGTCTGTAACGACACCGCCATCATCCAAGCGGACCCGGTATGCTGATGTCACGATAGCGATGTCGTCATCCTTTCTCTTTGCTTGCTTGTACGCTTTTGTAATCTCGCGCGTCCCCGCTGGGGGAAGCGGGATGCGAACGTGCGTGATCACTGCGTCCGGAGGCAGGCTGGTGGTTCTGTAAGCAAGGAAGAACTTGGACACGGGAAGTGCGAGGGTGCCGCCTTTCTTGCTGCGGGCCATGACCTGCGCACCGGCAGCCAGCAAAACCGGATTGCCGTCTGAAATGGGCGATGCCGTGGCGACGTTTCCGGCTAGGGATGCCACATTTCGGATCTGGCGGCCGGCAAAGTACCGCAGTTGCTTTCGGAGCGCTTCCAGGGCCAGGGCGCGTTGGCCGAGCTTGTCGTACACGGCTTTGCAGACATGCTCCAGCTCGCTGAGCGGTGTGTTGGCTCCCAGGTAAATCTCGTTCATGGCATCCCACTCCGCTTCGGACTTTGGCACCTTCGTCTCCTGGAGCTCTTCGATGTCTGACACGTAGACAGACACGGCGAAATCGGAGCCCTTGAACCGGACTTCGACTTGGACCTCGCTCGCGCCACCGACAAGCTTGGCCGAGGGGTAGGAGCTCTTGAGCTCGACTAGTTGCGCAAGAGTGGTAGGTCGGAACCAGATCTTCTTGTCGTTGCCGAAACACAAGGGGCGCTTTTCATGCTTCCACAGGCTAGGCGGGAAGATGAGTTCGGTGTCTGGTTGGTAGGGCTTGAAGGTGAAGTGTGGCACGCCCTTGCGGGATCCGGCCAAGGGTGCAGCAAGTTCTGTTTGGACCTTCTTGCCCTCTGGGTCATGCTCCCTGGATTTGAGTGGTTTTGCGTACGCCGTGCCGCTCGTCGCCGAGTCTTTTCTAGGCTGCTCAGTAATTTCGGCTGTTGGAGGTGATGGGTCCGGCTCAGTCACTGCCGAAGAAGATGAAGTCGACTTTTCGCTGTCGGACTCGTTGTTGCTGCTTGAAGATGGACTGTTGTCTCTGCAACATCCCCCTGGTCTTCCACACGAGCCCTTGGCTGAAGATCCGCAACCGGCTTTCGGGGCTGCGTCCGTGAGATCAATTTCGACGGCACGAGTTTTCGAGGAGTCTTTCTCCGGAGTCAATCTGCCCTTCAAGTCCTCGGTGACGAAGGTTTTCGCCGCCTGCAGGATTGGTTTGTAACCTGTGCATCGGCAAAGATTCCCGTCGAGATGTCCTTCTCGTTCGATGGTGTCCTCGGTCAAATCAAACTCCTGGGTTTCCGGATTGTAGGCATTGCGCACTACAGCGTAGAGAGACATTATGATGCCCGGTGTGCAGAAACCGCATTGCGAGCCATGTAGCTTTGCGATGCGCTCCTGAAGAGGGTGGGGGTTGTCGGCAGTACCGAGGCCTTCGATGGTGATCAAATGCTTGCCGTCAACGCCGACGAGCGGGAACAAGCACGCGTTGACGGCGAGGTATTCGACCTTCTTGGTCCTTTGAGAAAGCTTGGGGGAGCTGAGGACGACGGTGCAGGCTCCACAGCCGCCTTCGCCGCAGCCGAGTTTTGTGCCTTTGAGATCATGCTGCGCGCGGATGAAGTCGAGTAGAGTCCAATGCGGGTCGGGGCTGTCAAGTTCAACTCTGTTGCCGTTGAGATAGAATCTGAGGGTCGGTGTTGTGTATGTGGACTGGGTCAGCGGCGTCAACGCCTCGGCAGCTGAGAGGGAGACGGCAGCGTGCCGGGCTGCCTGAGGAGGCTTGGGGAGGGCCATTGCACCTCTTGCTGAACCAACGTCGTCAGTGGGGAGCGCAGAGCTGCCCATCACGCCTATCAGCACCTGACATGTGAAGACGGAAGGAAAGGGCAAAGGACTCACTTGGCTGCTGCTGCAGGTCCCGACGGCGGCGGCAATGAGGCACAGCAGTCTTCGGCGGGAATTGGCAACGCTGTCCCACCCTTCTCGCGATGCAGAGGATATATGGAGTCGGGAGGAGCTGGGCGTGGCGGGCTATCTGCCTCTGCCTCCTCTTTCCGACATTAACCTTGTGCAACGGGAGCCGCAGCCCCAGCCGTGACCATTCGTCGGCCAGCATTCCCGCTCAAGCGCTTACTGGCCGCTGGAACCGCCAGCCGCCGACCTCCCACTTTTCGCTCCCACTCTCTGCGCACCCCATTCCCACTCCTCAACCACCGTGCACCGCCCATGCAAGCGTCTGGGCAGTCTTCGTCCGCGCAACTGTTCTTCTGCGCGCCTACAAGAGCAACTCAACATGGCACAACCGCGCCCTCTACTTCCGGCCTCCTCTCCTCCTTTCGCTCCGCATTCCATCTGCTAGCTGCCCAAAAATGCCTGCGCCCATCACAAACCCGGCGTTTGCGCCACTGAAGGACACGGCGCTTTTCAAGCCGATGCAGCTGGGCAAGCTCTCGTTGAGCCACCGCATGGTCCTCGCGCCTCTTACACGCATGCGCGCACAGAAGGAGAGCGATGGCGTCTATGTGCACTCAGACCTGGCCGTCGAGTACTACAAGCAGCGCGCCAGCAAGGGCGGTCTGCTCCTGACCGAGGCCACCGACATCTGCCACTACGTGAGAAGAACCCCTTGTCAGCCAATCCCACCATGTGACTGACGTGAGTTCCGCCACGTGCAGGCCAGCGGCTACCCCGGCGTGCCCGGCGTCTTCACAGCGTCGCAGCTGGCCGGCTGGAAGAAGGTGACGGACGCGGTGCACGCAAAGGGCGGCTACATCTTCTGCCAGCTCTGGCACACCGGCCGCGCCTCGCCGCCCTCGTTCCGCGCCGGCGCGCAGGCCCCCAGCAGCAGCGACGTCCCCATCTCGGGCAACGCGCTCGACGGCACCGCGTACGGCGACGCGCCGCCGCGGCCGCTCAGCGCGGGCGAGATCCACGCGCTGACGGCCGAGTGGGCGGCGGCGGCGAAGCGCGCGGTCGACGAGGCGGGCTTCGACGGCGTCGAGATCCACGGCGCCAACGGCTACCTGCTGGACCAGTTCCTGCACGACAACGTCAACCGGCGCACCGACGCGTACGGCGGCGGCGTCGAGGGCCGCTGCCGCTTCCCGCTCGAGGTGGTGGCGGCCGTGGCGGCGGCCGTGGGCGGCGACCGCGTCGGCATCCGCCTGTCGCCGTACAACTACTTCCAGGACACCAAGGACAGCAACCCCAACGCGCACTGGGCCTACCTGTGCGACCAGATCGCCCGGCTGCCGCAGAAGCCCGCGTACGTGCACATGGTCGAGCCGCGCTTCGACGAGGTGCTGGACGAGCAGGGCAAGCTGGACGCGCTGGCGGCGTACACGGCGCACGAAGACGACGTCTACAACGGCGTCGAGGCCGAGGCCACGGCGCCCGCGTCCAAGAAGGCGCCCAACAGCCTCGTGCCGTTCCGCCGCATCCTGGCCAAGGGCGGCGTGCGCTTCCTGGCGGCGGGCGGCTTCGACCGCGAGAACGCGGCGCCCGTGGTCGAGGCTGGCGACGCCGACTGCGTTATCTTCGGTCGGTGGTTCATCGCCAATCCCGATCTGCCGCGCAGGCTGGCCGAGGGCCTGCCGCTGAACCAGTACGACCGCGGCACCTTTTACGGCGCGGACCCGCCGCAGAAGGGCTATGTGGATTACCCGTCGTTCGAGGAGACGTCGGCGTAGACGAGGGAGACTTGCAGCGGTAGAATAAGAAAGCATCGTTCCACCGGCCTTGGTCGTCGGTTAGAGATATCAATAGAGCGTTTGATGACAGCTATCGAAAAGGTGCTTGCGTCTGTCGTTCGGTGGTGTTCCTGAAAAGATGCCAGGTCAGCCTCCCGCTTCGCCGTTCGCGCAGCTATCGTCATCAGCATTTGGCAGGTGGGGTAGGTAAGCCGGAGACACAAAGCAATGCGGGGCAAGGGGTCCGAGCGGCAGGCGGGTGGGCGGAAATGCACGTCATCAGGGGTCAGGGGTGCTGACTGCTGAGCGGGTGCTGACAGCTCGCGGGAGCTATGGCCACCCCGGGCTGCCACTCTTCGAACCCCCACTGTTGATAAAGCTGCCCTTGTTTTGCTTATCGACTGTGCACCACTGCGGCTGTTGTGCCGCACCGACGGGCCCTGCCTTTGAGCTCGACATTGGTTCTGCAGCTGGGCCGGGCCTGGGCTCGCCGTCAGCGACGTGCTGACAGCATGACGGTGCGACCCTGCTGGCTGACCCCGCTGCGAATCTTTGGTGACCGGGGACTTTTCTTGGACGCCGATCCCACTGACGCTTTTCTCTCTCTTTCTCGCAGCTCCCTTCTCCCTCTTCGACAGCGCTGCTTTCTTTCCTGCTTCTGACCCCTCCAGCACGCCATTGGGCCTTCGGTCACTCGTCTGCTTTCCACACCACCCACCATCAACCATGGGCAAGAAGCGCGTGCTTGTCAGCTACGGCGTCGACATTGACGCCGTCGCCGGCTGGCTTGGTTCGTACGGCGGCGAAGACTCGACGAGCGACATCAGTCGCGGTAAGCACACAGCAGCACATGGCATCATTCCCCAAATCCGCCATTCTCTGACCGAGCCCTCCTCCTCCACAAACAGGCATGTTCGCCGGCACCATCGGCATCCGGCGCCTCCTCAAGCTCTTCGACAAGTACTCGATCAAAGCGACGTGGTTCATCCCGGGCCACTCGCTCGAGACGTTCCCCGAGGAATGCGCGGCGGTGCGCGACGCCGGGCACGAGATCGGCCTGCACGGCTACTCGCACGAGAACCCCAAGGACATGACGTTCGAGCAGCAGCGCGACGTGCTCGACAAGACGTGGCGCATGCTGACCGACTTCTGCGGCGGGAAGCCGCCGCGCGGCAGCGTCGCCCCCTGGTGGGAGGTCAGCCGCGAGGGCACCGAGCTGCTGCTCGGCTACGGCGTCGAGTACGACCACAGCATGAGCCACAGCGACTACCAGTGCTATTGGCTGCGCACCGAGGACTCGTGGACCAAGATCGACTATGAGAAGAAGGCCGAGGAGTGGATGAAGCCGCTGGTCAAGGGTAAGGAGACGGGGCTGGTCGAGATCCCCGGGAGTTGGTATATCGACGATTTGCCGCCGATGATGTTCATCAAGGGCGCACCAAACAGCCACGGTTGGGTCAGTCCGAAGGTGGTTGAGGAGTTGTGGATGGTGAGTAGTGGCGTGGTAGACGCCCCCTTGCTCTGGGCTTTCCATCTGATCTGGGAAACTTTAGGATCACTTCGACTACTTCTACCGCGAGTACGACGAGTTCGTCTTTCCGATGACGATCCACCCGGATGTCAGTGGCCGACCGCACGTCCTGCTCATGCATGAGAGGTAAGATGTGGAGTGCAACGGGTAACATTCGCTCCGTGCTGACGACGAGGCAGGATCATCGAGCATATCAACAAGCATGAAGGCGTGGAGTGGGTGACGATGGAGCAGATGTGTGACGACTTCAAGAGCAAGAACACACCAGCACCGGGTGCCCTGATGCCCGCAACAATCGAGGAGGTTCTGAAGAAGTATGAAGCAAAGAAGGCAGCATAGACGGCCGACGGCGTCTGGATTTCATTCGACGAAGTCATGTCACGGCTGATGACGGCTTTACGGGAGGCGAGTCTGATTGTAGTTCTTTGATTCGTATATATCCTCGCGTGAAACTTCGAGATCGTTCTATAGCAATACCCGGCATCTGACATACAGCATACAGTGAGAATTCGAGCAACCGTGGTTGAAATTTGCGAACAGAGACACAGCAGGCTGCAAATATTCGAACGCGCCAACTGTCTAGTAGAGATACTACATTATCCTGATATGGGTAATCGAATCCGGTTGGTCTTCTGTACCTGCTTGAAGCCGGAACTGTTAGGCCACGACTTTCCCTCTCCGCAACGCGTCGAATAGGCTAGGAGACGCGACTAGACACTTAATCAACAGACACGGGTCGCTTCCGGCAGCCGATCCCTTCCCCCCATTCATCCTGCTACCCCACTCCTGCACTCTTGCACGACCACCCCCTCCCGAACCGCGCCAAATCCCAGCCGCGCCACCTCTACGCCGCTGCGTAACTCGAGTTGATGATACGGAGGACTTTCCCCCAAGCCAGACCCTCCTACCTTATCGGGCCCGGGGAACTTGCGTATGCACATGCGAAGAGTAGTGTCGGCAGCATGCGGCTTGTTCCCGCGGGTGCCACCAAATCCACCACCACTGTTGCCTTTTTCTTCGTTGCATCCACCCTTCAAGCAGCGGGGCAGCAGGAGCGTGTGATGTCAAATCCCGCGGCAGCTGCACCACCCCTGCATCATCCATTTCAGCTTCGATGATCCGCCGAACTTCAAGTGACAACAACAACAATCTTCTTCAGGCCATCGTGCGTTCAGATTTCCCCGAATTCCTGGTCGACGTCAAACTGGCATTCGTCTTTCCGTCCGTCTCGGCTCAAACACCACCAACCCGACCACCACCACCACCACCACCACCACCACCATGTCTCCCCCCATCCCGCCACCCGTCCACGTCCAACAGCAAATCGAGCGCGACCCCTCCTCCCAACTCGACGTAAGCCATCCCTCCCCCCCCCAACATCTCTCCCCCAGCTAACCAATGCCCCCGGGCACCAATCAATCCAGATCCTCATCGTCGGCGCCGGCCTCGGCGGCCTCGGCGCCGCCATCGCCCTCCTCCTCGCCGGCCACCGCGTCAGCATCCTCGAGGGCGCCGCGCAGATTGGCGAGGTGGGCGCGGGGATCCAATGCCTGCCCAACGCGACGCGCATCCTGCGCGCGTGGGGGACGGGAGACGCGCTGGCGGCGCACCGCACGCGGCCGCGGCGGTGCAACATGTGGGGGTGGAAGGGGAACGCGCTGGCGAGCATGGATTTTAGGGGGTACGAGGAGAGGTTGGGAGGAGGCGGCGGAGGGGGGGCGGAGTTTTGGGATTTTCATAGGGCGGGGTTGCATGCGTGTTTGGTGGAGAGGGCGGTGGGGTTGGGGGCGGAACTGAGGTGTGGGGCGAGGGTTGTGGATGTGGTGGTGGAGGAGGGTGATGGCGAGGGGGAGGGGGAGGGCGCGGTGTGCTGTGTGTTGCAGAGTGGGGAGAGGGTGGTGGCGGATTTGGTGGTCGGGGCGGATGGGATCAATAGCAGGTGTAGGGAGATTCTGCTCGGGAGGGAGGATCCCCCCGTGCAGACGGGCGATTTGGCGTACCGGTTGTTGTTGAGCACGAAGGAGATGATGAAGGATCCGGAGTTGAGGGGGTTTGTGGAGGATCCGCAAGTCAATTATTGGATGGGCCCGGATGCACATGCCGGTGAGTTCTTCTTCTTCTTCGACTTTCTCTGGGATGGAGCTGGCGGCGATGGAGGGCTGAAACAATGGCAACAGTGAACTACGTCCTGAGAGGAGGTGAGCTCTTCAACATGGTGTTGCTGGTGCCGGACGACATGCCGGCTGGGGCAACGACGCTGGAAGGAAACGTCGAGGAGATGCGCGCCCTGTACAAGGACTGGGATCCGCGCATCCCGAAGTTGCTGGCGCTTTGCGAAAGCGTGTACAAGTGGCGGCTGTGCATCCGGCCTACGCTCGAGCCCAGCTGGTCCGATCCGTCCGGTTCCTTCGTCCTCCTGGGTGACGCCGTGCACGCGACGTTGCCTTACTTGGCCAGCGGCGCGGGAATGAGCCTGGAGGACGCGAGCGTACTCGGCTTGTGCCTGGCGAAGATCAAGAACAAGAGCAAGGAGGAGAAGAGGAGAGCGCTGAGTGTATACGAGAAGTGCAGGAAGGACCGCACGGAGAGGGTGGTGCAGCGTGGCAATCTGCAGCAGCATCTCTACCACCTCCATGACGGAGAGGAGCAGGTGGAGAGAGACAGGCTGTTTGCAGCGTGGAACGAGTACGAGGAGATGGAGCGGAGAGGTGAGAGCCCGGATCCGAAGGCATTGGGCCTCGAGCATGGGAGCGATCCGTTCCCTTGGAGGTTCAGCGGCGTTGGAGACTGGCTGTTGACGTACGATTGCGTGAGTGATGTGGAGGCGCATTGGGCGAAGGACGATGAAGTGGTAGAGAGGGCGAATCTGTGAAAAGGGCGACGATGATCATTCTTTGCGTCACAGAAAGAAGTGAGTACACAGAAACTGGTGGTTCATTTCTCCGTCAGAAGTGCGTATCTTTTGAAGTATTATCACGAAGCCGTTTCGCCAGGTATTGCAATAGAGGGCAGGGGGTTGAAGCGTCCGTCTGGATACCAAAGCACAACATGCCTACCTGTGAACAAAAGCATCCCGACAAGTGTTCCAACCGCCTCACCTTGTTTCCGTTGTAATGCTAAGCGAGCCCGCAGTCGCGCCTTCCTCAACACTGATACGTCGCCACCACCACCTCTCTTCTTCAAAAATCTCCTCGCTGTGACCGTCCACTCCACACGCATCGCGTCACATCTTTCACCATGCTTGATCCGACAGACATCTTGAACGAGCTGGAGGTAAAGTTAGCACAGAAATGGGCCGACCCAGACGACGACCTCTCCGAACTGGAATGGTACGCCCTCCAATCCATGATCCAACGACGCACCCAAGACGCGAGCTATCCTCCAATCGAAACACTCAAGACGGCCAAAGATCAGTCGCGGCTGTCTCCGCTCGGTGACCTGGACATGCCGGCTTGGTTTGAATGGCGCGTGGCTCACCCGGGCAGACATTCTCGAACCTCACTTGCGGAGACGCCGAAGCCCGCGGGTCCCACTGTTCCGCGAGTGACAGGCCATGGTCTCACAACAGCCGCGACACCTTCACAGGTGAGACTCACCATATAGTACCTGGAGACAGATCACTGACCACTTCCAAAGTCTGCGCTGGAGAGCGGTAGACTTGGCGTGTCCACTTCACAGACATCCAAGACCATCACCAACGGACCAGCTGGTACCTTTACCAGAGTGAAACGAGAAAGAGAAGCAGAGGCCCCCGAGTCAACACCGAGGAAGGCGGCACGGACAGATCCTCTTACCTCAGAGTCGGCTCCCATCTCTTCTCCACAGACACGCCCATCCAGTTCCGGCCTACAGCCAAACCGCAGCACGTCTTTGGCCGGAGGCTCCAAATACAAAGACCCCAACGGCATCACGGTATCTCCATTCGCTCCTCGCTCTAGGGCCAGAGACACGAGCCAATTATCGACTATAGCAACGCCCTCGTCGTCCCAGGCGACTGCCTCGTCAAATCCCTCTGCGACTACAGTGAGGTCAATGGAGAATTGGATTGCACTATTCGACGATGACTTTGTCAATGTCAAGTGGAAACCCAGACCGCTATTTCCAAAACGATGAGTGTGACTCTGGACATAAATGTGCTAAAAAAAAAAGGTGCTGGATCTGGGAGGACTCCATTGACCCCTCGAACACGATGAACTGGATCACGTGGAGGCAATATAAAGGGACTCTGGGACAGGGAGGGGCTATGATCCAGCTGTATTTCACGTTAGTGGTACGGCTGTATTGCTTGCAAAGAATTGCTACCTACGGGGCACTTCACCGGCCACAGGACTCACCCGGGGAAGGCAGGTCATCAAACAGATAAGGGCTCACAATCAAGTAGCGGCAATGGTAAGATATATTAATGGCCAATGGAGTCTCACAGGAGACGTTTCTGACTCTACAATCACGAGCAATATAAGATCTCTCAACTACAGGGAGCTATTTAATCTCCAGGGACTAGCGCTTGCTAGCTCCCTTCACTCCCCAAGTCCCTCAAACCATGGTGAGCCCACCAAAGGCAACACTACCTAATTGATGCTACGATGTGCCACATGAGTCATTCGTATGACCCGCGCAACATTGCATGACTCATCCACAGATAGACAGTCCTCCAGCACGGTCTCTTCTTTGAAGAACCGTACAACCTCTTGTTGAGCAACGAACCCCTTTACCGTTGAACCGTGACGATGAATGCTTCTGATAGACAGAGCCCACTGTTTCACTACGTTGGAAATTGAATAGATCACCCCTCGAAGGAGCACAATATAGCGTTGATCTTTTGATGATCGACGAGGTTTGATTGACGGGATGAGGATCAAGATCAGGGAGTGCCCCCTGGCGTGTCCCCCAATTGGGCATTCCCATTGCGCAGTATCTATAGCCGCGACTTTCATCTTCAACACTCTCTCTGACCTTCGACTTACTGGACTTGTATGCGGAGGCAGGATCGGCCGATTGCTATCGGTGAACGTGAAAACATGCCGAAAGGGAGCCAAAGTGCTTACCGATCCTGCCCACACCATTCTTAGTTCCTATTGAGTAACAATTTTCAAGCTGCCGCGGGCCATTTCTTACAGCATCGCCTTAGGTATACCTTGACATCGACTTTCACTATACCCCTTTATCGCAGCTCCTGTTGCATCTTTCTAATTTGGCTGTGCGAATTTCCGAGTTCCCCCACCACACTGTCTCTATATCAACAGACTTCTTCCCCCTCCCCTCTGCCTTCGCATCCGTCCGGGACGCCTGTCGTGGGGGCCATCTGCTAACGGGTTTACAGGGCAGTGTTTGCGCTCACTGGCAGTGTGCTTACGCTTGTGACGGCCAAGTACGGACTTGGCATGCAAAACTAGGTGTATGAGAGGTCATTGAATAGGGCGAGGGGACAGTGGGAGAAGTAGCCGGCCCATAAAAGAAAGCATATGAACTTCATGATCGGATCTGAAGAAAAGAGGAGAGCTGGATTCTTACCTCACGGACCACCCGCCATCCAATGTTCGCCTCGCAAGTCCGGCCAATACAAGCTCTGCAGCCCTCCATCGTACAAGGATGTGTCGATGAACCTCAGATCGATGTCTGGCCCCTGGGACAGGAACTCTTGCAGAGAGGGCTCTGCGAGCGCCATCCCCGCCGTCACCACCGAACCTGACGTACACTGGACTTCCTCGCTTGGGACTGCACCACCCGCAGCCGCCGAAGCCTGTGCCGCAAATGGGTCCACGACGAAGGATTCGGTACCGCGCGTCTCCTCCATGACCCGCCTCATGGCATCGATATGCCGGCAGAACTCCTTGGCCGCATAGTTGCCACTATGCATTAGCTGACCAAGGAACTGCGCTGCAGTCTCAAAGTGGTCGCCGTCACTTTGTGCATCTTTGCTGCTCAGGAAACTCGAGATTGCCAGGATTGTAGCAGCGGAGAAAAGATACTGGGTGTCAAAATAGCCGAAAGTGGCAAAGGCGCCATCAATCCAAGATTCGGTGAGCAACCGGTATGAATGACGGGCACAGCGGATGCAGGCTTCGGCAAGTGCACGAGCTGTCTCGGGAATTTGTGGCGTTGGGGAGTTTGCTGGCATTTGTAGAGATTCTCGATATGTGCGGAAGACGTGAAGGAGAATGGGCCTGGTGGCAAGAATGACAAACTTCGCCAGTTAGAAAATGGAATAGACATAGACCCAGAATGAAAAGGCTTACTTGGTTAAAGGAAAGGTGCAAGTAGACGAGAGTTCGTGACTTCACTTGCAGAGAATCGTCTGTGTCGAGTTGCAGGTGACTTGGTAATTCTTCGACCCAACTCCTCAAGTTTCGTAATGCCTGCTGAACTCTCTGAGAGAACGCCCCATGCTGCCCCTTTCGTTTATAAATTGAGGCGATGATGTGAGTCGCCAGCCTCGCTAAACGGATACTTGCATTGATGTAGTCGGGGTCCCCGAAATCATCGGCTCCAGGTCCAGTCAGTCCCTCGCAGGATGGCAGGTCCACTTCGATGTCATCGTCCTGTATAGAAGCAGGCTGGCCAAGCTTTGATGCCCACATGCGATCGCAGACGTAGGCTGTCCACCAGATGCGATGACGATGCTCCCTTGCGCCTCTATCGCTTAGCTGGTGTTCTGGCACACTCAGGTGCAAACCCATGACGATGCCCAGGCGCACTGCAGAGCTTGCCAGGTAGTATGCAGCATGGCGCCTGTTCAGGGTCAGAGAGTAGAATGACTGGAGGAGAAGAAGGTCAGCAAAAGGCACGTGGAAGGCGTCGTGCAAGCCTTACAAGAAGGAGCAATATCTCGATCGAGTCAATCCTTGGCCGCTCTCCCAACACGCGCAGCATCCTGCTCGCACGGGCAAAGTAAAGCAGACCTGGGAAGTAGCCTTGGGCAGAGACTGTTCGAGTGGAGAAGACCTCTCCCAAGGCAAACATAGCCCAGAGTTTGCACTTAAAAAGCTCATCACAGCCGGTAGGGTTGCGGATTGCCATTTCAAGGCCATCGAGCAGAGCGCTCTTGCGGATAGCATGGAAGCGCTGACAGATGGTATTGAGAGAGACCTTGACCAAGAAGCGAGCCCGCGGTGCAATGGGCCATTGGCAGTCGACGTCAGTCAAGGCCATTAGCTCCTCATCAGTCACATAGTGAGTGCGTGGAATATGCCTGTGGGGGGTGTCGGACAGGGCCTGGCGGAAGCGTGTTGCAAACGCGGCGTCGGCTGCCTCGCCAATGTGGATGGGCATCTCGGAAGTATTCAGTGGAAAGAACCAGGGGCGATCCTCAAGCAACGGGTTGCGCTCTGCCTCGTCATTCTCAGAGGCATCCACAGGCTGTTCGTTCTCGGTGGCAGTAGCTGTGTTGGGAGAAGGGAGGGCAGTGGTGGAGTGGCTGTGGCGGTTTGACTCGCGCAGGCGCTCGTTCTCCTCCATCAGCTCCTCGATATAACTAGCGCGGGTTAAGATCAGGGTCCGGAGACGGTCAAGACCTGCTCACTTCTGGCTCACCCGCACTTGGCGGTCTCGAGCGGGGTAGACACAGTCGTCAGGGCATTCCAGCTGTCTGCAGTTGACGCACGGTTTGCCGCCCGAGCACTTGACCTTGCGTGCATGGCACTTGCGACAGCTGTTTCAGCAGTCAGAAGGCGACGTGACGTTGCGGATTAGGAAACCACTCACGCGACTGGTTTCGTTCTCGGCTTGTTTGTCAGGATGCCGGCACTGTGCCTATGCGATGCAGAGCCTGCTCGAAGCGCTTGTCGTCGGTCGCCGGCGTCGGACATGAGTGCGGCTGGGTTGCCGGCGCAATGTCAGCTCACCGAAGGGTTGGAGGGGGTGGTCAAAGAGGGATCAGGTTCAGTGTTCCTTCCGTCTGATGAGCTTCGGCATGGAAAATCGTCGGCGCTGCTCTCGGCGTACTTTCCCATTCACCGACGGCCTAGTTCTCAACCCAAAACGGAAGGATCTTGGTCATCCAATGATGCCATCATATGTGTACCTGTCATGGGTGTTCGGCGTGGGCCTCTTGCGGCTCAAAGTTCAGCATCCGTACATTCTTCATCAACCATCACAGGACAATCGAAATGAGGCATACTATCGCAAAACATGGTTTCAAAATATGAGGCGTTTGTCGGAGATTTTGGCGCTTAATTGGAAATTCAGAAGAAACTTCGGGAGATAGTTGGAGACAAACACTGCAAAGTCGGGTTGCCTGCTGAGGCTGTGGTTAATGTGTCGAAGGGGACCGGGCTGAGCTATGAGCAGTGGGCAAGCTTAGTTTGCATGAGCGTCACGGCGTGGGATTCGTTGTATGGGGATATCCCGTTGAAGCCGGGGGCAGACGGTGCTGTTTCAGGATGAGTTCTGCTTCTTGTCCCATCGTGTTATGGGGCAGTCTTTCTCCCCAGCTTGCGAAAAGGGAAAGAAGAGGAAAGAAAATAAAATAAGAAACCAAATATCTGTTGACACGTCTATCAGGAACAGGCGGCGTCTCTATCACCGGCCTCATCCTCACCAAGGCCGCCGGCACCACGACAACCACCTCCTCCTCGGACAGGAAGCTGGCGCACGTGCAGGCCAAGTATGGCGCCCACCATGTCATCAACTACCAAAGATGCCCGATTCGGCCGCCGAGGCGCAGCGCATCACCGGCGGCCGCGGCGTCGACTTCATCGTGGAGAACGGCGGCGCGGGAACAATCAAGCAGAATATGGAGGCCATCGCCTTCGGCGAAATCATCTCCGTCATCGGCTTCCTGGCCAGTATCCCGTAGTCTGAGATGCCGAATATCGATATGTTGACTTTGGGTAAGTTTACAATGGTGAGGGACATCATGATTGGTTCTAAGCAGATGCTGGAGGATGTGGTTAGGTTCGTGGGGGCGACGGGTGTGGATGTTCCCGTGGAGAAGACGTTCGAATTTACCAAAAAGGATGTTGTGAAGGCGTTTGAGTATTTGGAGAGCGTCCAACACATCGGCAAGGTGTGTATTAATGTCGACTGAGGCGGAGGGGGCCAGGGCTTCCTATATACATAACCTTTTTTTTTTGTTTTGGGAGTAGAATGCTTACTTTTGATCTCCAGGGCTTCTTCTCTCATCCGTCATTCACCCTAACATGTTAGCGGGCAAACCTTTTCTTACGGTTTCCATGCGACCTTCGTGATGACGCAGAAAAACAGCGGACCCCACTGTCCACCGTCAGGATGATCAGGCACGGCAATCCTACCATACTTCGTCTCCTCCGTCAGCCTCTCCAGCGCCTCATCCGCCTCCTTCTGCAACTCCTCCCCATCCTTTCTCCGCACACTCCCCAACTCAAACCTCACACCCCACCCCAACCCGAACCTCCTCCTCTCCTTCTCCACCGCCGCGGCCACCCTCTCCACCACCCCGTCATTCTCCCCCGTCTCGACCGAGCACGTCGAATACACCACGCGCCCGCCGACCCTGGCCGCCCGCAGCGCCGTCATCAGCAGCTCGGCCTGCAGCCTCGCCAGCGCTTTGCCGGACCCGCGCCGCCACCGCGCCACCTCGCGCGCGTGGATGACGTGGCGCTCCGACGAGCACGGCGCGTCCAGCAGCACGCGGTCGTAGCCGCCCGGCCCGCACGGCAGCTTCATTGCCGCCACGCCGTTGCCGTGCCCCGATCCGTCGGCGCCGTTCAGGCGGAGCACGCGGACCGCGCCTCTGGCGAAGAGTGTGGACGGCAGGTAGGCGCGGAGGTTGGCGGCGAGGCGCTTGTTGCGGCCGGCGTCGACTTCGTTGGAGTGCAGGCAGCCGGGTTGGACGGGTGGTGCTGGGGAAGTGGGAGTGGAAGTCGAGGCGGCGTGCAGGTGCGGAAAGATCATCTGGGCCAAAGCGATGGATTTGCCGCCGGGGGCGGCGCAGAGATCGAGGACGCGGTCGTACGGGCGGACGGCGAGCATGTGCGCGCCAAGGGCGGAAGCGGCGTCCATGTTCCAGTGGGAAAGGAGGGCCTTTCCGCCGTTTGACGGGGTGGGGATGGGCTGTGGTGTGGGGAAGAGGAAGACCTCGGCTTGGTTGGGTGGGGGTTTGCTGTCTTGTTCGTCTGATGATGCTGTCGGAGGAACGCGCTCGAGGAGCAGGAGCTGCGGCGCTGTTGCGTTCTTCTCGGCGTCTGATGGCAGCTTGGGGAGCTGGATTGGCCGTATGTCCTCGCCTGAGACTGGTGCGATGACCTTGGTGAACTCGCAATAAGGGACATATTGGTTCACTAGGGCGGCATAACGCGTAGGTTTGGCGAGGGCCGGGTAGAGAGAGCCATACCACCTCTCGTTGCCCCAGTTTTGGTGAGAAGCATAGTTGGCATGAAAGGCGGCTACGGTTGCGTCCAGTTGTTTGCGCTCGGCTTTCGTCGACATGTCTGTGGTTCAGGTGTGGGGGATTTGGCCGGAGATTTCCTCGCTCCTTTAACGGACTTCAGAGGCTCCCGGGCCAGCGCCGTGGCGTTGGCCGAGTTGCGGTGTTGACTGTTGCATGATTGACGATGCAAATCAGACCGACATCTGGTGAACAGCTCAGCTCAGACTAAGCCACAACGGGCATCTTAGCCGACATCCGACCGTTGGTGGTCTGCAGTGGTGCGATTCCTTAGCCTCGCGCGGGCTCATGATGCCGTTGTTAAGGGTCCTCGCTTGCAAACCGGGTGCTGTTTCATGCAGTCCGCGCGCGTAATGCAGCTAGTGGTTGCCATGAACTGTGGGAGGACGCGATGTCTTCCAACGCGTGTTGCGGAACCCGGCCGCCGCGACACGCCAACTCACATGATCTGGAGTAGCCAAGCCTGGCTCGCGAAACCTGCTCTTAGTGCCAGCAAGTCCGCAAGTTGTGGCTGCGGAGGACGGTAGATGTACAAGACTGCCTCCCTCTCAGATATTGATCAGAGACAGGCATCGGAGTTAGCGGCGTTTCCGCCGCCCTCGGCTACAGATGGCCTTAGTTGGCTGCCCCAACACCCTGGCTCCGCTCTGTCTATCAACCTCCACCTCCCCCCATAAGCGCAACCATGCGCTGGCCTGGGTCGGGCTCCGACGAAAACGACGACTGGAACCCAAAGCGGCCCGTCTCCAAATGGAACGAGAAGCTCAACGCCATTGACTGGCAGCACTACACCGAGCCGCGCCAAGTCATTCCGACCCTCTTGCTCACTGCGACGACCCTGTTCTTTGTCCGCGTGTACAAGTCCTATCTGCGCCGCATACCGAGCGTGAATCACATCAAGCCCGGCTTCTTCCGCGAGCGCAGTCTCTTTGGCACCGTGACGAGGGTCGGCGATGCGGACAACTTCCACCTCTTCCACACCCCGGGCGGCAGATTGGTGGGATGGGGATGGCTTCCGGGCAGGAAAATCCCTGCGAGCGGCAAAGAGCTGATGTCGAAGACTGTATGAAGCCTGCGCAAGACTAGCTCCACCGGCTCTGACCCAGGCACCAGATCCACATCCGCATCGCCGGCATCGACGCTCCCGAACTTGCGCACTTCGGACGTCCTGCCCAACCCTTCTCTCAAGAAGCGCAGAACTGGCTCAAGGACTTCATCCTCAATCGCCGCGTGCGTGCACACATTTATCGTCGCGACCAGTACGACCGCGTCGTCGCATCCGTCACCGTCCGTCGCGGCCTTTTCAGGCGAGACGTCGGTCTGGAGATGCTGAGGGCAGGGCTGGCCACTGTATATGAGGCCAAGACAGGCTCGGAATTTGGGAACCTGGAGCAAAAGTACAAGGATGCCGAGGCAAAGGCAAAGGAGGGGAGGGTGGGGATGTGGACGCAGCCTTCGGTCCTGGGACGCTTCTTCAGCAAGCCGAAGGAGAAGCTGGAGAGCCCGCGCGAGTACAAGGATCGGATGAAAGCAGAGGAGGCAAAGCTAGCGCAACAGAAAGATACCAAGGAGAAGCGCCAGGTCAAGAAATGATAGTCTGTATAGTTCTGTACCTGGCTCTGTTGGGAGACGTGGTCGGCATCGCGCGCTCGACGGCCGGGAGCGATTGCGAGTAGGGTGCGATGGGGTTGCAATTCACAATGACAACGTGAAAATGATAAACTGATCGTCGGCGGCGTCGGGACGGAGGCACGTAATCGGAATTTGTGGACACGCGGGCACGCACAAACCAGTGACGCTCGATCTGTGCCGGGTCGAAGAGTCAGACCCTCAATAATGGCTGGGCAGCTGGGGAACAGCGGCACGTAGCAGCACGTAGCAGCAGCAGACGCGCACACAAGCGCCAGAGCTCCAGGCGGCACCCCGCAGCTGGGCCGTGAGCTTGAGACGGCAGCGTGGATGATTGCTCAATTGCTCTTGCTGGGGATCTGTGCCGCATGCCATCATTGGCCCCACGAGCCGTGACGAGCAAAAGTCTGCGGGAGGGGCACGAGCGGCTCGCGAGCGGCCCAGGGCTCAATAGTGCGTCCGATGTTCGGGCAGCCAAAATTATTTCCCACCGACACCATCGCAGCCGTAATCAGCTATTTCTTGACTCATCTGGCGAGGAAACACTCTCTCCTCCTCTCCTCCTCTCCCACCCACAGAAGCCGACCACGACCACATCTCCGCGAATGCGTGCTGCTGTGACCCTCTTCACCTCTCAGGTATGGCCCAACCAAGGCGCTAGCAGCAAAAGCACCGAGTCCGCGCTGTCTTGCCCGCGCTCTCTGCGCTGCGAGACGCGCGAGCCGGGCGCCGGCGCATTGGCAGCGTGCAAAAAAATGTGTTGGGGACATCAAAGCTGACTCTGCGCCGCTGCAGGACTACATCTCTGGTGCGCACCTGATGGCGCCGCCCAAGCTGCCGTGATGACTGACCGCGCTGCAGACCACCTGTGGAAGGCCTCGATCAACTGAAACGTCTTCCACCCCGCCCAACCCGCTTTCTCCCAGCCATTGACTCCCCGCCCAAGCTGAAGGCCCTTGCGCGCGCCAATTTCAATAACGTCACCGCCGCAAAAAGGCGTGCCTGAGCCCCAGCCGCCCTTATCACTTATCGCCAGTTCCCGCGCCTTAGCTTTTGCTTCGCGCCGAGCGAGTCGTGTCAAGCTTTTCTCGCACACACGCCCACCCGCCCACCGCACACCTCAAGACCACCTCCAAGCTGAGGCTTGAAGAGGCTTGACTGCCCTCACCTCGCTCGCTCGAATTCCTGGTCCAATGGCTATGTCCGGTCGGCTGGCGCGCCGTGCGCCCACCCTCCTTCGCCAATGCCGCGTTGGAGCTTCTCCCGTCTCTGCCCGCTGCTTCACCGCCAGCGCCGCCCAACCCCTCCTCTCGCTGAGGAAGAGCCAGACGGCTAGGGTCGAGACGCAGCAGCTTCGTGCCTTTTCCAGGGTTGCCGCCCTCCGCTCGAGCTCCGAGGCTCCCAACGCCCAGGCCTACCTGAACAGTGGCGCCATAGCTGGCGCCAGGGACCTCGTGGACGTCAAGAAGGTGCTGGTTATCGGCAGTGGTGGTCTCAGCATTGGTCAAGCCGGAGAATTCGATTACTCTGGTAAGTCGCCTCCTGCAAGCTCTTGTCGCCGGCTTCCGAATGGCTGGCTCGAGATGCCTCGAGACGTGCCGTTACCTTTGCGCACACTCGGGCTGCCAAATTACCGCCCTGGGCTTCAATGGCTAACACGATCGCTTCAGGCTCCCAGGCCCTGAAGGCCCTGAAGGAGGCCGGCGTAAAGTCGGTCCTCATCAACCCCAACATTGCTACCATCCAGACCTCCCACGTGCTCGCAGACGAGATCTACTACCTCCCCGTCACCCCCGAATATGTGACGTACGTCATCGAGAAGGAGAGGCCTGATGGAATTTTCCTCAGCTTCGGTGGCCAGACTGCTCTGAACCTGGGTGTCCAGTTGAACAAGATGGGTGTTCTGGAGCGCTACAACGTCAAGGTGCTTGGCACTAGCATCAAGACTCTGGAGACCAGTGAGGATCGTGACCTTTTCGCCAAGGCTCTCGGCGAGATCAACATCCCCATTGCCGAGTCGATTGCTGTTGGCACCATCGACGAGGCTTTGGACGCGGCCGACAAGGTCGGATACCCCATCATTGTCCGCGCTGCCTACGCTCTAGGCGGTCTCGGCTCCGGTTTCGCCAACAACAAGGAGGAGCTCAGGAACTTGGCTGCCAGGTCCCTGACCCTGTCGCCTCAGATCCTGGTCGAGAAGTCGCTCAAGGGCTGGAAGGAGGCCGAGTACGAAGTCGTCCGTGACGCTAGTGACAACTGCATCACGGTCTGCAACATGGAGAACTTCGATCCCCTTGGTGTCCATACCGGTGACAGTATCGTCGTTTCCCCCAGTCAGACTTTCAGCGACGAGGAGTACCACATGCTCCGCTCCGCTGCCATCAAGATTGTCCGTCATCTCGGCGTTGTTGGCGAGTGTAACGTGCAGTACGCTCTGCAGCCGGATGGCCTTGACTACAGGGTCATTGAGGTCAACGCTCGTCTCTCTCGTTCTTCCGCTCTTGCCTCCAAGGCCACTGGCTACCCCCTGGCCTACACTGCTGCTAAGATCGGTCTCGGCCACACTCTCCCTGAACTCCCCAATGCTGTTACCAAGACGACCACCGCCAACTTCGAGCCTTCTCTGGACTACATTGTCACCAAGATGCCCCGCTGGGATCTGAGCAAGTTCCAGAATGTCAAGCGTGACATTGGCAGCTCCATGAAGTCTGTTGGTGAGGTCATGGCAATCGGTAGGACCTTCGAGGAGTCCTTCCAGAAGGCTTGCCGTCAGGTCGACCCCAAGTTCCTGGGTTTCCAGGGCGACAAGTTCGAGGACCTGGACGACGCTCTCGCCAACCCCACTGACAGGAGGTGGCTCGCCGTCGGTCAGGCCATGTTCCACGAGGGCTACAGCGTTGACAGGATCCACGAGCTGAGCAAGATCGACAAGTGGTTCCTGTACAAGCTGCAGAACATCGTCGACCTCACCAATGACCTCAAGGAGATTGGCAGTCTCTCCGGTCTGAGGAAGGAGATTGTTTCCAAGGCGAAGAAGCTCGGTTTCTCTGATAAGCAGATTGCTCTTGCTGTCAACAGCACCGAGGACGAGGTTCGCGCTGTCAGGAAGAACTTTGGCATCACTCCCTTCGTCAAGAAGATCGACACTCTTGCTGCCGAGTTCCCTGCTGACACCAACTATCTGTACACGACCTACAACGCCTCTTCCCATGACGTCACCTTCGATGATCACGGTGTTGTTGTCCTCGGTAGCGGTGTCTACCGTATTGGTAGCTCCGTCGAGTTCGATTGGTCTGCTGTCATGGCTACCCAGTGCCTGACCAGGCTCGGCAAAAAGACCGTCATGATCAACGTAAGTGCCAACTTTTTTTTTCCCCCTTGTTTTTTTTTGGCAACACATGCTAACATACTAAATCAAACACGCAGATGAATCCCGAGACCTACTCCACAGATTTCGACGTTGCTGATAAGCTCTACTTTGAGGAGCTTAGCTACGAGCGTGTCATGGATATTTACGAGCTCGAGACTGCCAGCGGTGTTGTGGTCTCCGTCGGCGGCCAGCTTGCGCAGAACATTGCTCTTAAGCTGCAGGAGGTTGGCAAGGCCAACGTTCTTGGCACTGACCCCAACGACATTGATAAGGCGGAGGACAGGCACAAGTTTTCTCAGATCCTGGATTCCATTGGCGTTGATCAGCCCAAGTGGAAGGAGCTTACTTCGTTCGAGGAGGCTCAACAGTTCGCCCGGAACGTCGGATACCCCGTCCTCGTTCGTCCCAGCTACGTGCTTTCTGGTGCTGCCATGACTGTCATCCGCACCGAGGGCGAGCTCGAGGAGAAGCTCACTGCCGCCAGCAACGTCTCTCCTGACCACCCAGTCGTCATTACTCAGTACATCGAGGGTGCTCAGGAGATTGACGTCGACGCCGTTGCCAGCAAAGGCTCTGTCCTCGTCCATGCTGTCAGTGAGCACGTTGAGAACGCTGGTGTCCACTCTGGAGACGCTACCCTCGTTCTGCCCCCTATCAACCTCGAGAAGTCGATCCTCGATCGCTGCAGGGAGATTGCGGACAAGGTCGCCAAGGCGTGGAACATCACCGGTCCCTTCAACATGCAGATCATCAAGGCTGATAACCCGGAGGGTGGCGAGGCTTCGCTCAAGGTCATTGAGTGCAACCTCCGTGCTTCTCGTTCGTTCCCCTTCGTCAGCAAGGTCCTCGGTACCAACTTCATCGACGTCGCTGGCAAGGCTCTCCTTGACACCGATGTCCCTGAGCCGGTTGATCTCATGGCTGAGAAGCGTGACTACGTCGCTACCAAGGTGCCTCAGTTCTCGTGGACCCGTCTTGCCGGCGCTGATCCCTACCTCGGTGTCGAGATGGCCAGCACTGGTGAGATGGCTTGTTTCGGTAAGAACCTGGTCGAGGCCTACTGGACTTCGGTTCAGTCCATGATGAACTTCCGCGTTCCCGAGCCTGGTGAGGGTCTCCTCTTCGGCGGTGACGTTAGCAAGCCCGAGCTCTCCAAGATCGTCGACTACCTCGCCCCGCTTGGCTACAAGCTGTACGCAGCAAACAACGAGGTCAAGAATCACCTTGAGAAGAACTCCAAGGCTGAGGGTGTCTCGGTCGAGGTCATCGAGTTCCCGAAGGAGGACAAGCGTGCCCTCCGTGACGTCTTCAAGAAGTACGACATTCGCGGAGTCTTCAACCTGGCCAAGGTTAGGGCGAGCAGCCTGGTGGACGAGGACTACGTCATGCGCAGGAATGCGGTCGACTTCGGTGTCCCGCTTTTCATGGAGCCTAAGGTCAGTAAAACCAAAGCTTTAATCATCCTCGGACCAGAACCACAGCTAACTTTGTACTCTGTAGACTGCCCAGCTGTTTGCTCAGTGCTGCAGCGAGAAGCTTCCTCGCCAGGAGGGCATCCCGAGCGAAGTCAGGAAGTGGAGCGACTTCCTCGGCAACAAGCCCTCGAGGCTGTAAAGTACTGGCCGATGTGTTCGTCCATTTGAAAGGGTGACCTGAACTGGAAAAGTCCCGGTGGTTCTTTTTCATGTGACATTTGTATTATTGCGTTATATGCGGGCGTACGGCTGTAGCGTATGTCCTTGGATTCTTTTACATGTTAAGGACGGCTGGGAGGGAGGAGGCAAAATGTAGATATGGACACAACAAAGGGCGACGCGAGAGTTTTATGGTCGCTTCAAATGCTCTGATGTTGGGCAATAGAACTTGGATCACGTTACAAAATTACGAAAAAAAACCACCCCACCTAAGTGAATCATTCGTGGGTAGCTGAAGCCTGTGTCTGGATGCATTTGTACAGTTTAATGCTCACATCTACGTCCGGATGTCTGCTTCAACTGCCCACACAAAGGATCACCGTAGGCAAATTCCCTCAGTAACCCACTGTGAGGAAGGCAAGTTTCTAGTCGGTCTGACAGACGCGCGATAGGAGGTGGGTGATCAAGTTAATCGCTCCCTTGTCTCTCATCATTGCAACCACCTACGCATACATCCCCCTCTCGCAGCCGATGGCTAGCGCGAAGAATAACAGAACATGGCGTAACTATGCCTTAGCTCGTTCTTAGAGAAGAAAAAAAAATACGTAGGTAGTTGAAGCCATCGTCCGGACGTGTATGTAGAATTATTAATCGGATCAGCCTCATGGACCACCCCTTTCAACTGGATTACGAAAGATGGGACGGGAACATGTTAGCGACCAAGGAACAACAGGCTCAGTTCGCGAGATATCGCGCCGGGCACCAGGCCATCCCCCCTGACCAAGAATCCGATACTCATCCCCGGGTTCAGCCGTACAAGGCGGCGGTTACCAAGTTCAGGAAGACGGGCCACAAGGGCCCTACTACCATTTTCGATCCCACGGATCCAATTCCCAGAGGAAAGTCGGCCGTTCCATCCACTCCCACCAGCGGAGAAGATTTCGACGAGACTTCCAGTCTCAACGATTTCTTTGGGCCTTTCGCGATGCCGGATGGTGCGTTCCACCATCAAAGGATCGCTGTGTCCGGCCGCCCTGAGGCGCTCTTCGAGTCCGCGTCGGCCTTCCGGGCCTGGCTCCGGCAGAACGGGGCAAGGACGTCGAACGGTGTGCATCTCAGCACCACCCTCCTGATCCAGGCCGGGCTGTCCCCGGATCCCACCAAGGATCAGAAGGCCAGGGACACCCCAGGCGTACGCAGGATCCCTTTCCGGGAGTTTATGCTTCATTCATGCTTTTCTCCACTTGAGACCCATTCCATCGTGATTCCACTCTGGACTGTGTCATCGTTAATTCGACATTCTCGTCCGGACGATGGCTTCAACTACCCATGCATGAGCAAAAAAAAAAGATCCACGCTAGCCATCGGCTGCGCGAAGGAGCTGTACGCATAAGTCTGCTGCCTGACCAGCCACTTTTTTTTCTTCTTTTTTTTTCTGGCGGAAAATTAAGGAGGATGAACAAATCCGACAAGGCGTAGGATGAATGTAACATCGCACAAGATACCAAAGATTCAGGTAGGTGCAGCCAGTCAGCCACCACTATTTACGTGGAGTATGGGAAAACCCCCCCCTCCCTCCCCCAAACAACAGCCTCTAAGAGCTTGCGAAATCAGGCTGCCTAGAGTTGTACATACATACCCATGTCCCGTGCGTTGCGTCAAACGGGACGGGAACGGCCGCGGGGCCAACCACCACCCGTGACCCTACCTACTTATCGCCCTTTGCTGCGTTTTGATTGGCCCGTACATTTGGCAAAAAACAAAACCCCATGACCTTGCTAGAGAGCACTGCCACCACCATTTGTTGTTTTCACCTGGAATGAACGTGTGTCGGAAATTAGAGATGATGGATATGTGGAGACTGCGTGAGGGGAACGTGGAGCACTCCAGGTTTCTTTCTTTCCCTCGAATCAAGACCGTTTATGTGTTGCCGGCCGCGCCCCGCCGCGCCCCGCTGCGCGCGGGATGCGTAGGTAGGTACGTTGGTGTACGTACTTATTGCTCTTTCCTCTTTGATCGAAAGCATTCGGGGCGCTTTTTTGCTCCGAGCAGCTGTACGCCAGGCCGCTCATGATAAAGAACCGGTGACCCTTTTTATTTTTGGTGTAAGTCATGGCTCGTGCAAGTTTGCTTGCGCACGTCAAGAATGCTGCTGCCTTGCGCCTCGCGCCTTCGCGCCTCGCTCGGGAAGGAACGACGTTGCGCCATCACGCATCGCGGGAATTAGCCACGAGCAAGGTAAATGATGACACAGCGCCCGGGCGCAGGCAACCACGTCAGGGCGGGGGAAGGCCTTGAACGGTAAGGTGGTGTTCCCTTGGTCTCTGGTTGGAGAGCGGGTGGATGACTCCACGACGATAAGTGTCGTCTCCAGGATGTGGATGGATGGATGAACGAGGCGGTTGGACTGATCCCGGTAGAAGGATTTGAGGGGCTTGCATAGGGCTTGGTGCTTTTTTTCATCACCACGGGTGCCTGAGGACACACGGTCCCTCTATCTCTCAGTAGTAGGAGACTGCGTATGGTTTATATTTCACTTCGTCCTTGCTGTTCAATCCTGATCCTCAGCACACGCTCTCGATCCGTTGCCGAACTCCATTCAAAACAATCCCCCCCCAAGCCGCCCAACCTGGCGTTCTGCGACCTCTCCTACGGCCTTTCTCTCTCCTCCAACCCCCTCGATCACCACGAAGAGCACCAGCACGATCACCAGCACGAGGACCACGACCACGACCACACCATGGCTACTTCCCACAGCAATACCTCACCACCACCGACCAACACCGACGACAAAAACATCCGATCGTCCCAGTCGCCCGGCGCCACCACAAAGGCCAAAGAAGCCGCCTCGAACATATTCCTCACCACCAGCCGGCAATCCACCGACACCGTCTCGACCCTACCCGAATACACCGAGAAGAGCGAAAACAGCAACAGGAGCGGCGATCCTCAAGGGTAAGGAGAAGACCACCGAAAGAAAGAAAAAAAAAATCAAAAAGCACCTACCTTATCGCCTCGGCCTGTCACACATCAACCGTGTTTTGGCCGTGGAAAAATTGCTAACCACGTAATCCCGTTTAAGTTCCGCCCGCGCCAGCGCCGACAACACCTCGGCCCAAAAATCAAAACTGGGCTCGGCTTTCGACCGAGTGAAGGCCAAGGTGGGTCGTGGGGAGCCTGACAGTCCCGAGCGGGCTGAGGAGAAAGCGAGGAGGCGGGAGGAGTACGAGAGGCGAGGCTTGGGCGATAGGACCAAGTATGGTGTGGGAGGGATGGGATGGAGTGGTTGAGAGTTGATTTTGAGGCAGGGGGAAAAGAAGGAGAAAGAGTGTGCATGTCGTCGGGTCTTTTTTTTTCCTTCTTGATATATCTATTCCACTCATCTTCCGGCGTTGTCTTCTCCTCTCGCAAGGATATATTGGAAACAGCTAGGGAGTCAGGTCAGGGTTTTTCTAAGGGTCAGTCCTCTCAACGGTTTTTAAGAGCGAAACGTTTTACTGTTCGGTGCCACAGATGAGAGTTTGAGAGAACTTTTTGGGAGTTTGCATCTATTGTCGTCCGCTTTCGTCGCTCCACTCGTCTTATACAATGAACACCTATTATTTGGTCCAGCTCTACTTCCTCTCGGGATAGTGGTGAGGAGTCATTTGGATCATAGCGCACAGGCGCTTTGGCCAGCTTGGTTCTTGATGCAGCAGTCCAGGCTGCTGAGTGATATCTCGTGGTCCTTCGGTCTGTGTGATGATGTCGCTTAGAAGTTGACTTTGAAGGTACGGCCGCTAGCAGTCTTCCTCTCCTTCTCCTCCGTCTCGGGCCTGGCTCTGCGCAGAACTGCGAATGTTCAGTAGATGTGAGGGCACCGAAGAGTCCTGTCTCGAGCATACCTTGGAGGAAGTCGGCGGTACGTCTCCGCATCCTGGAGTGAATGTAGGCCTTGGAAGCCTTGATGTGGTAGTGGAAGTAGTCACGGAAGGTCTGGATGTGAGAGATGACCTCATAACGGCGCTGAGGAGTCAAGTGCCTCGGGAAAAGGACTGGGAAGATTAGCATGCCGCACGGGAAACCTCCAACGATGACATCATACCGAAGGTAATGTAGCCAACCTCGCCCTTCTGAGCCTGAGCAACCTCAGGCATTCCCTGAAGCTCAAGCGGGGCGTCGTTCCTGAACAGGACCTGGGGGGCGTTCTGGATAGCGCGCCTTCTCGCGTCGACGAATTCCTAGTCACGTAACCTCAGTCACCGCATGCTCCCGCAAACCAAAAGTACGGCCAGCTTCGCATACCTGAAGGAAAACCTTGCCGAAGATGCGGTCCGTCTCTTCCCTGAAAACGGTGCTGAAAATGACCGTGACTCTGTCGTGGCTCGCCTTGATGTAGATAGCCTCCTCCTCGCGGTAGTGGATGGCGCGGACGGCACCGCCCTCAGCCAAGCCCTGCGGGGCCGACTCGGAGGTGTACTTGGAAGCCTCCTCCTGCAGGGCGGCGAACTCGTCGAAGGCCTGCTCGAAGGGAGCAGCCATGGCGTTGCGCTTCAGCAGCGAGATGCGGCGGACCAGGTCATCGCGGGCCTCTGTTCAGGCAGCAATCAGCGACACGCACTCTCCCAATTGACACGGCCCAGCGGTGTTTGCGGTACCTTGCTCGGCAGGCAGGTCCTCGAGGTCAACCTGGATGGAGAAGTCGTAGCCGGACTCCGGGGCGACGATGTACGGGCCATACTCGCGCTCCAGCACCTCCTGTGCTCCGTACTTGAGCAGCTCCTGGAAGCAGCGCACAGCAATGGAGATGACAATCTTGGTCTTGGCCTCGGGGGTGGAGATGTGGAAGGTCACGCCGTCAAAGTCCGAGACGATCTGGTCGATGGAGACGGGGGCTTGGCTGCGGGCTGTCAGTACTCAAGCTAAGCAGCGGCAACGGCGCGGGGGCGCTCCCGGGGGGTCGGGGCGGTGGGAAGGGCGGGGCGGGCGTACCCGGAGAAGCGGTCATTGAGCAGCGACTCGATGAGGACGTTCTGGTAGTCGAGGAGCAACATGATGGGCGGCCGGGCTGGGGCAGGTTCGGGGGTGGAGGGGTGCGAGCTCCGGGGGGTGAGGTCGTTGGCGGTGGTGGAGCAGTCAGGCCGTGGCCCGCCCTACGCGCGCCAAGAACGTGGGGCTTGGGCCTGATCGCCGCCTCCAAAAAGTCGTCGCCCGCCAAAAAAGTTGCGCCGCAGTGCAGACCACGACCAATCGCGCACCATGGTCAAGTCCTACGTGTAAGTTGCTCCCGCCCCGCCCCGTGCTTGTCGCCGCTGCCCAGCTGACCCGACTAGCAAGTATGAGCACTCGCAGACCTTCGGCGTCGTGAATTCTGCGACCTCGAATGTCGTCTGGGCCCCCGAGGCCGCCGCAGCCCGCACCACCGGCGCCGGCCATGCATACACGGCTGCGAACGAGGAGGTGCTGTGCTGGGACGTGAAGAAGGGCGAGCTGCTCAGCTCCTGGCGCGACAGCTCCTGCTCCGCCGAGGTCACCCAGATCGCTCAGAGCAAAACCGACCCCGATGTCTTCGCCGTCGGCCACGCAGACGGCAGCATCCGCGTGTGGGACTCGCGCTCCTCGTCCCTGATCATCAGCTTCAATGGCCACAAGTCCGCCATCACCACTCTGATTTTCGACGACTCCGGTGTGCGCCTCGCCAGCGGTTCCAAGGATACAGACATCATCGTGTGGGATCTGGTCGCTGAAGTCGGCCTGTTCAAGCTGCGCGGCCACAAGGACCAGATCACTGGTCTGAGGTTCCTGCACGTCGGAACTGGCGCTGGTGGCGAGGAGGATGAGACGCCTGCTGTCAGCGACGACGGTCCAGTTTTCCTTCTGTCGACCGGCAAGGATGCCCTGATCAAAATCTGGGATGTCAAATCGCAGCACTGTATCGAAACACACGTCGCTCAAACCAATGGCGAGTGTTGGTCGCTTGGCCTGTCTCCCGATGGCAATGGCTGCATCACCGCTGGCAATGACGGAGAAATCAAGGTGTGGACCATAGATCTGGAAGGCTTGCGAACGCTTGCGACACAAGTCGGAGATGCTGCAGAGGCAGAATTCATATCGGAGAGGGGCACATTATACCGCTCTGGCAAGGACAGGACAATCGGCATCAGCTTCCATCCCAAGTCGGACTACATCGCGATACACGGCTCGGAAAAGGCCGTGGAGCTGTGGCGCATCCGGTCAGACGAGGAGGTACAGAAGAGCTTGGCCAGGAAGAAGAGGAGAAGAAAGGAAAAGCTCAAGGAGTTGAAGGAGAAGGGCGCCGACGTGGACATGGCCGATGCCGACGACGACGATATCGCCGCCGCAAGTGTGGGGGACATCTTCGTTCCATATGTCATCGTCCGCACTGGAGGCAAGGTCAGAGCCGTGGACTGGGCGCGGGGGACAACGAAGGCATTGCAGCTGATTGTGTCCACTACAAATAACTTGCTGGAGGATTACAGCGTACCGGCCAAGGAACGCGTGAAGAAGGCCTCCAAGGAAGAGCCTCCGGAGTACTCGCGATCCTTCTCCGTTGAGCTGCCAGGACACCGGGCTGACGTGCGCTCTCTCGCTCTGAGCTCCGACGATCGCATGCTGGCATCTGCTTCGAATGGAAGTCTCAAGATCTGGAACATCCGGACGAAGCAGTGCCTACGAACGCTGGAGTGCGGCTATGCGCTTTGCTGCGCCTTCTTGCCGGGCGATAAGATTGTCGTGGTGGGTACCAAGAGTGGAGAGATCGAGCTTTTCGATATCGCATCATCGCAGCTCGTCGATACTGTGCAAGCACACGAGGGCGCAATATGGAGTTTAGATTTGCCCCCCGATGGCAAATCCGTGGTGAGCGGCAGCGCAGACAAGACAGCAAAGTTTTGGAATTTCGAGATCGTGCAAGAGGAGATCCCAGGAACGAAGCGGACGACACCAAAGCTCAAGCTGGTCCATGCCCGGACACTGAAGGTCAACGACGACATTTTAAGCTTGCGCTTCTCCCCGGATTCCCGCCTGCTCGCCGTGGCTACTCTCGACAATACGGTGAAAGTTTTCTTCGTCGACTCTCTCAAGCTTTTCCTGAACCTTTACGGCCACAAGCTCCCAGTCCTGAGTATGTCCATTTCGTCTGATAGCAAGCTCATCGCCACCTGCAGTGCGGACAAGAATGTGCGCCTCTGGGGTCTCGACTTCGGAGACTGCCACAAGGCTTTCTTTGCGCACACCGACAGCATCATGCAGGTCTCGTTCATCCCTCACCCGGTCTCGAGGGAAGAGAACCATCACTTCTTCAGCGCCAGTAAGGACCGGACACTTAAGACCTGGGATGGCGACAAGTTCGAGCAGATTCAAAAGCTCGAAGGCCATCACGGCGAGATCTGGGCCATGGCCGTCAGCCGGACCGGTGACTTCGTCGTCACGGCCTCTCACGACAAGAGCATGCGCATCTGGAACCAAAGCGACGAGCCCATCTTCCTGGAAGAAGAGCGCGAGCGCGAGCTCGAGGAACTCTACGAATCGACCCTGGCCGCCAACCTCGACGGCGACAACGCCGACAACGACAACGACGAAGTCGGCGCCGCAACCAAGCAGACCATCGCCACCCTCACGGCCGGCGAGCGCATCATGGAAGCCCTCGAGCTCGGCCTCGCCGACCTGGCCGTCGTGGCCGCGTGGCGCGCGCAAAAGGCGGCGAACCCGGCCGCCGCCATGGCGCCCCCGCAGCGCGACCCCCTCTTCATGGCCCTCGGCGGCATCTCCGCCGAGCGCCACGTCCTCAACACCGTCGCCAAGATCCCCGCCGCCCAGCTGCACGACGCCCTGCTCGTCCTGCCCTTCAGCGCCGTGCCCGGCCTCTTCGCCTTCGTCCGCCTCTGGATCCAGCGCCGCTGGAGCGTGCCGCTCGTCTGCCGCGTGCTGTTCTTCATGCTGAGGACCCACCAGCGGCAGATTGTGGCGAGCAGGGAGCTGAAGACTGCGCTGGAGGGCATGCGGGAGGATTTGAGGGAGACGTTGGGGGGGTTGAAGGACATGATGGGCTTCAATGCTGCGGCGTTGCGGTTCGTTGGCGCGAGGGCGGAGAGCGGGAAGGTTGTGAGGGTCGAGGATGTCGAGGAGGCGGTCGAGAAGGGGGCGAAGGGGAAGAAGAAGAGGGCGTTTGTGGATGTGGCGTAGTAGCTTGTGTGCAGGCTGGAGGTGAGCGACGGCAAGCGTCGTGTCATGTGTCGTGTGTGTATTCGGATGGGACGGATTGTTTAGAACGGGGTCAAAAAAGTGGTGGGCGTATTTCGAGGTATCTTATTGGTTGGCAAATATATTATCGTTTGAATCTTCGTAGCTCGGTTTGCTCCGCTTTACTGTTGAGCTATGTTCATACAACCTAGACGGTGACTCTTCTTTTTCTGACCCTGCTTCATCAGTAGGATTATATAATAGAAAAAAAAAACCCTCATAGGTGAGAAATTCCCATCAAGCTCAGTCGCTCGCTGGAAGCGCTAAATCGCGAATGCTAAGGTGTCAGCTGCACATGTGGAGGGATAAACCATCGCGAAGTGACACGCTAGAAGTATATAACATACTTCCTCGTTATACATCGAAAGTCTCCGGAAGCTTCTCGCCGATTGCTGGCCATTCCTGTTTCGCTATACTGACTTCGCCGTCGCAGTCATGACAAGCCCGTACGCAACTTTCCCGGTATAGTGAGCAAATGCCGCCTCCAAACATATTGTCGTTGCTGCTGTTCTGCACTAGTAGGAAGTGATGCTTCCGAGCATCTTGAAATAAAATTTGAAAGTATGAAGGATCAGCTTGATAGCCTAATGCCGGAGAAATAAGGGAGGTAGAAAGTGACAGGCGTGCAAGTGAGAAAAGGCACTTAGGATGCTAGTGGTTAGCTACACCCGGACCCAGTCAGTTGCTATGTTTACCGTGAGTTCTGTGGAAGATCGCATACTGTGTCAACGAGCGCGTCCCTGTACATGCGCTGTATTTATGGCCAGCGGCTTGCTTCATCCAAGCGCGTAGGAAATCAAAATGGCTTTCGTTGAATACAGGAGTGTGAAACCTTTCGTCAGCCACGTCTGAGATACTCACAAGCCCCATAGATGGCTTTCAGCATGTCTCTTGCATACTCTGGCATGGAATGACTGCTTCATGCCCCTCCCAGTATCTCGTCGCGGTATGCCTGAGGAGCGATTGTCAAGATTGTGGAATTGCATGTCTGCTGACGGCCTGAGATTTGAGCAATAGGGCTTGAGCAGCGGCGAATTCTCGCACCTCTGTTATCCTGTCTGTATTTGGACTCGTGAAGACGGGCTTGGTATGGTTTTCCAGTTGAAGGCACACGTAGTTCGATGGACATCGGCAAGTGATGAAGACAGGCAAGCCACTCATGTTGTTTTCAAGTCCTCGAAACCAGGCGCGAAATGGAACGTGCTCGTATTAGAAAAGATGAGCTTCGAGCCTTTGGCCGCTTCAAAGACAACTGTACTCAGTGTTCATTCAAAAGACAAGTCAGTCGATGAGGGTGTCTCACAGCGTAATCGTAACGGTCATTCAAGCTCGTAAGTTTTTCTCGGATGCATCAGGCACAGGTTCTTGACTCATCTTTTGCCTGATGCTCGCTGAACTCGTTGAGTGTCATTTCCAGAAGTGTGCTTGCCCAGTGTTGCTTCAAAGGGCCCATTACTCAGAGCGAGAGACAGGTCCTCAGCAACAAGGTAGAATTGTGGGAGAGGTACGTCCCCACTTCACATCATCGTATACCATTTCCCGGGCATGTGAAGTCTCATGCTGGTGTTGGAAAACCGGGTCAACATCACAGGATCGAGAGATGAAATGACGGTTTTGATCACTGCCACGGAACATGCATGATCGTATCCGCTCATCACAATCACGTCCCCAACTTCTCAAGTGGCGCAGTCGGTGATTCGTCGTGCATCCAGCAACCTCGCGTAGCAATGCTGCTGCCTCAAAATCCATGGCAGCAAGGAAAAAAATAATAATAACAAACTCCGCATGACATAGCAGCCCCATGCTGGTGATTGCTCGCGATCGTCGGCGTCCTGAAACTCGGGAGTGGGAGGAAAGTGCAGCATCCGTGCGGTCGAATGGACATTATTCAATGGCGCAATTAGGTTTCCACTCGCTTGGCTTCCACTAACTGACCGGCTGGGACGCCACATCCCTGCCTGCCAGTCTCTAAATTTTTTTTATTTCTCCTCGGCGTCTGAAGGATCTGGTCTGGAAGCCTGAGGGGAAGGGGGGAGGGGCATCGCCGAAGACGCCAGCATGTGGCTCGAGTCAATGTAAGATCCTGGAGAGAAAAAGGTGACAGGCTTAGCTTGATGCTAGCACATGGGGGAGTTGATTACCCTCTCCACTCTCCTCTGAGATGGTCTAGAGACTATTTCGCATGCGGTATAGACTGGTGTTCGGGGGAGTAGAGTCCAGGGACGCAGTCGAAGAGTAATCAAGAAAATTAAAACCCCGGCTCTTAGCGCCCAGTTGTGGCTTGCCTTAGCTCAGCGGTCCCCACTGCGCTAAGATCTGGGCTGAGCATCTGGTGCTCTTCGGCGTGGCGCTGTCGAAGCGGGAAGGGAGGGCGACGCGTCAACCGGAGGTGGTTGAGGCTGTATGCTCATCATCTCGTCAAGGGAAGATGAAACAATAACACGCGGATCTTATGCCCCTGCTCCTACCGCAATAGACCCCGACGCAACAAGCTCTTCTTCCCTTGTTGGCATTCCAAATAATCGTCTGCGTCGCGAACTGCCCGCATGGGCGTCTTCTCGGCGGCAGCGCCAGGCAATACCCTTGCAGCACAATGCTTTCTTCCGAAACTTTGGTTCGACGTCGACGCTCAGCAAATAGGCTCAACGGCGGCCGCCCCAATGGGGAGAAAGAAGCCGCCACGGCAGTGTGGCAACTCGAAGTCATGTAGGTCGGATTAGACGTCCCGTTTACCTTCTCGGCAACGGCGCGTATCTGTAGATTGTTTCTCCTTTCGCCCTCGATCGTCTGTGGATTTGCAGCAGGTCCCGTCGGTCCAGGGTCTCCATTACGCACTTTCCGTCACACAGTAGTGACAGTGATCAACAGGTACCTGCACCTCGCAAGGAGCAGCGTGCTCTTGCCGATGCTTTCCAAAAAGAAACGGGTAGCTGCTTGACTCTGACCCAAAGCTCTTGGCGTTCAAGCCACAATGAAAGCTCTCGCGCCCCTTAACGGCCAATCATCGGGGGCGCAAGAGCAAGAGGCGCAACAACCTGGAGCAGATCGTGGAAGTCATCAGACTAGCGATGCAGACGCGGCAGCGCCTCGCGCGCACGGCTGCTTACCAGGATCCGGTGCTGCGGGAATGTAGTACGGGGACAGAGGGACGAGAGGTCGCTTTGGTCGCTAGTGTGCCAAAGAAGTAATGGGCGTGGTAAAAGCAATACTGACGCACCGCCCAGTTCCTAGATAAGATAGGTGGGTTGCCCAAGTAGGAATGTGTACCCCTGTCCGGTCGTGTCAATGGCCACCGGGAGTCGGAGCAGGCGCAGTGGGCTGCAGAAGCTTGGCATGGCAGCTGTTGGTGCTTCGCAGAAGTACCTAGCTGGTGGCAAGGCGTAAGGGTGTCGAATAGGGATACGATGGCATGCAAAAGCCGACTGGGATAAAATTCAAATCCTGTAGGTATTCGGTGAGGACGCGTCCGAGCACCTATTGAGAAAGAGAGCCCCACTGCTGCACCAAGCACCGGCATTGTATTGGAGGTTCTCGGCCAAGGCCCAATAGCTGAGGTCTCACCGGTGAGGCGGTTCTGATGCTGCATGCTCCCCGCATCTGCCATCCTTCGCAGGGGAGGCGGTGGCCCTGTGGCCCTGTGGCCCTGTGGCCCTGTGGCCCTGCCGGAACCAGAGGCTGAAGGAAAAGGGCCAGCAGCATGGTACCCCACTCGTGGATGGATATTGGCGCGCTCTCCAACAAAGCCGAGTTGGGCGCGCTGGTGCCATCTCCTGCGTCCTGCTGCCGGCCCAGGCGTGCTACATGGATACGGGCAGGCAGGAATTATTGCGCTCGCAAGCGTCGAGGGATTTTTTGACCTGTTCGGCACTCGAAAGACGGCAGCGGGAGCATTCGGGATGGTGGGCTGGATTCATGTGATGGTCCCCGTTGGAGGCTCCCCAGGCGTCCAACCCCTTGGCACCCGCTGCGCCGACGAGAGCGGAAGGAGCTCCGCCAGGGGCAGGGCGCCATGACACGCAGCGCTGTGGTGTTGTGTGTCGCACGCGCAAAGAGATTTGGAGGACTTGGATCCTAGCCCGCCGTCCAGCGGCGGTTCAGGCTAGCAGCATTTCCAGAACAAGGCGACGGGTGGCCCGGGCGGGAAGCCTGGGGGTGGTAGGTAGGACCGAAGCTGGGTGGAAATGACCATCTCCGAGCTGGTTGGCTTTGGGCGTAGCGTGCTGTTTCACGCTCTGGGGCTGTGGGCGGCGGGCTGTGGGCTGCGGGCGCCACGTGAAGGCAGTCCAATCGAGTAAGAGAATCTGATAAAGCTTAAGTCGAGGCGTTAACTGCGATGGAGCCGCGCAGACCCCGGTTGCCGGTTCTGCGACTCGTCAGTGAGAGCAAAACGGGCCGGCTGGCAGCAATCACGCGCGAACCACGCCAACTGCTGCTGCTGCGGCTGCCGGAAAAGGAGGACCATCCTGCCGCTTCGGGCTGCGTGCGGGAGATGATCCCGCAGGGCTGCGCGCCCACGCATTGCATTGTTGCTGGGCTGAGAGGCTGCGTGCTCGATAGCCGAACAGGCAGCCAAGGTGCCAGCAGCAGCGAGCCCACAGTCCGCCAGCGCGCGGGAGCGGCGCGGTGAGCACACGGTACTTGGTGGAGCGGGCGGCCGCGCGCTAGCAGTCTGGCAGCCCGCTGGCCGGCGGGGAAGGCTGCGCTGCTAGAGCTGTCGTGGGCCGGTGCCACGGTGCCAGGCAGGAAGCCCACCCAAAGCCATCCGCTGGCCGAGTGTCAGGGCCGTTTGAGCTCGCCGCCGCCCCCACTTTTGCCGCTTGACCTGCCTGCGGATGGCGGTGGGAAGGGCGTCAAGGCGCGGTGGATGCGTGCCTGACTCGCCGGTGGCCAACGGGACTGGGTTTGCCATCACGCCAGTGCAGCGCGAATTTGCATGCGCTGGC